GTTACCGACGTCACGTCTCGGACCATCATTTCCGCCATTTGCCACGCGGCTTCTTCCTCATCTTTCTGTAATATTTTTTTATTTCAAAGGAGACTTCAAACTCCAGGCATTGAGGGACAAATTTCTTAAAAACGTACCTGATTTTTTCCGAGAAAGCTGTGCAGAACTTTCGAGAAAGCACCAGTGCTATCACGGGACACGACATAATCGCAGCTGCCGGGTGGACCTTCCAGATCTCGGAAGCTGTAAAACCTCCCAAGAGAATCCACTTGTCCCATCCCGAAATTCCTATGGAAAAAATACAAAAGTTCCATTCAACTTTCAATTATTGCGTACCATCAAAATGTATACAAGATATATTTTGCAGAAGAATCCATCTACCCATATACTTTTTGGAAGTCAAAAGAAAAATACTAAAGTGTGGCCTAACCTAAGATCAGACTAAAAATAGATCTCGGAGTTCTTTTAACAAGCTACTTTCAAATAGGAGACCCTAAGTAAGACCTGCTCGAAGGCCTCATTTGGATGCTTCAAATTCTTAGTTTAATTCGAGGACTCAAAATTCTTAATCCAATTCAAGTGTTCCAAATTCTCAGTTGAATTTTAGTCTTTTATTTTTGTATATGACCTCAGAAGGAATTGTTCGATGGAAAAACTATCCCCTGGGATTCATTTTGGACGACCAAGGCCTAATTTCCATGCTGTTAAGTTTTTGATTTACCGCGAAGAAGAGTTCCTGGAATGGATTGCTCGTGATTTGCTCGAAGCAAACATTTGAAAGAAAACAATTTTTAGGTACAACCTTCGTGAAATTCCTGAAGAATAATTCGCGCATCCGTTTCCTCTTCCAAGTCATGGAAAAAACGAAAAAAAAAAACTTGCGCCATCTTTTGTCAACATTTATAATTTGAAGTGGTCAGGTTAATTCTTTCCACCACATATCACACAGAATTTTTTTTACAATTTAGTGTGTTTAAAGCTCTGGATTTTTTAGTTTTTGCGAGATTTTCCGAGTTTACTTTCGATTTAAGTTATATAAAAGTTACCGTTTTATGACATATATTAATACGTGTTATAAAACAGACAGCATAGTCAGTTCCAATGGCCGTATCTATGAAGACTTTGCAAACGCAGCATAAAAATTCCACTCGAAAAGCGATACCTAAAAAATTAACAATGCTAAATAAGCTGAATTTCGGTACATAGTCAACATACGAACATTAACTTCACGAACTTGGAATGATACACACGTATCACTCTCTCCACGAAGAAATTCGAGAGACCAGAAACAATTTGTTGTAGAGAACCATATGGGCCTCAAAAATTCGTTACACAGTACAAACAAAATCGTTGTGAAAGAGTCTAAAATCTGAATGTGATTTAAATTGCATGATATCCATCATGGTTCAGATAGCGATACAAACTAAAAGTAAAGGGAGGTAACACGGCTTCTTTTTTCTTTGTTTAAGTAGTTATTTAACTTGAGTGAGCCCGACTCGCCCGCCGTTTTCGTTGCCTAGTTACCTACGAGACACGCTAATATCTACAGGCGCTGATGTGGACGTAGACATTTTTCTCGCTCCTTTGGGTTGAGATTCTGCTCTCGAACGTGTCATCCCATTCAGAGCTTTCCCTGTTGTTTGAGAACTGCTAACACTTCTCGTCTCGTCCGATATCTTCGACGGCTCTGCGATGAACACGAAAAATATGGTTGACCAAATTTTGAAAAAGAAGTACTTTTTCCTGCATTACACTCACCACTTCTCGATGATTGCATTCTCTTCCGAGCATTCAGATGATCCAATTGATAAGTAGTCACCAGTTCTTGCGTGTACGTGTAGTAGAGATGAGATTTCAAGAATTCCGGGAAGAAATGCTGAAAAATATATGCATACAGCGACGATAATATAAAATGTTACTGGCTTTTGAGGGTGAGGTCCAAAGCATTTTATCTGAACAACTAATCAATCCATTTTCAAAAATATTGAATCCCACCTTGGTAAGCAGAGTATTGACAACACTAGCAGGTCTCACGAATGTTTTCGGATCAGGACCGAGTCCGTTCTCACGACACAAACTCATTTCAACTTCCAATCGAATCGTGTCACTGAATCCCAAAGCATGAGTTGCTTGCAGAGATATGTACCTGAAAAAATATCGTATGCATTATTAAGATTAATACACATTAAGTCTTTCTATAAGAAATCATGAACAAGCAGAATGTTACCTATCGTAAACCACCATAGCATCATTCTGGGCAGCTTCCGGGGAGATGGAATCACTGTGAAGCTGACTAGTTATGCTGGCTGCGGTCAGAAGAAATTCGACCAAGTCCAAATGTCCCTCTTTCTCCATGTACTGCATGAGAAAAATACGTGTGATTCAAGAATAATAATTTTTCAAACACTTGTGCGTCCGTACTTTCATTTTTCGTTAATGCTGCCCCGTCCCATCCCTCATTACTTTTACTCTCCTCAAAATTCGAAGATAACTAAATTAAACCCAAAACTGAAGTTGAACTTCGATAACTCGAGCCTCCCCAAGTCTAATACCTCCCTATGTCGAAATTTTTCAAGTACCTATCTGAATTCCCTAAGAATGCAATAAAAGACTTCCTAACTCGAAGGATTTCCCTCTTGAACCACACCAATCGAATTTTTTAGAATTGACATGTCTCGTATTATTTTATTGAAACAAGAAAGAGAAAAGCAATTGAAAAGTAAAATGCGATTTGAAACGAAGTGAAGAAATATTTGGGCAAATAAACCCTTGCCTTCAAGTTCGGCGTCCTGTCGACTCATTTAAGAAGTAATTTAAGGCTCAGAATATCACGGAATAAAATATCCTGTAATTCTTTCCAACAAGAATGCTTGTTTTAACTCAAAACCTCCAAAACTCAAATTTTTTCATGGTCCCTTGAAGTTCGATTTACAGAGATTCGACTGTAATAAGAATATACATCAAACGTGAAAGCAGAAGCTTAAAAAAAAAGGAACATATTGTACTGTACCTCCATGAAGAAGAAAGCAGCCGCATCATCGTACATGACGTCTTTCAGCGACAATATTTTGTTCGTCAGCACGTCAATGCGGTAGTTGTAAAATGCGTCACTTTCCAAGAATTGCGTGTAATAATCCTTGGTCAGAATTTGGAAGACAAAATCCTGCGCCGGAAGGAATATGTCGGAGTCAAACACGTCGCCGTCTGAGTTCACTCGAACGCTCTGCAGAATGGTTTCAACCAAATCTCTGGGAAGTGGTTTCGGCCACAAAGAAGTGGATTTCAAGTGCCGGTCGCAGATTTTCACAGCGTCTCGGACAATGTGCTGAAAGTGAGTCAACGGCGCCGATTCCGACCACTGGGGAACGATTCCACAAGCCCGGTTACAATCCGAGACGGTCCTGGCTACCCGGATTTTGTTCCGTGCCCCGACATGGTCCCCACTTCCGCAACATTTGTCTTCGGGGTCGTCTGGGTCTGACCCGATTTCTTCAAGAAGCAATTTTGATAGGGTTTGATGCACATCGGGACAACAGTCCACTTCGGACGAGTCCCTGTCTTTGTTCTCGGACTGGCGAAGAGCAGTTCGAAAATTATGGCTGCTCAACCAAAATTGAACATAACACAACGCTCCTAACGGTTCGAGGAATTGAATAAAATATGTCAATGCAGTTTCCAGCTCCTCTTAGGACCGGTCTCTGCCGCAGTTTGTACTGAGGTGTAGCAAGGTAAGGGTTACGTGTGGTACTGGTGTTTGACGTTCCTTTTGTCTTCTAACGTAGTTACTCTTTTGAGTTAAGACTGAGGGATTTCGCATTTCAGAATGTAATTGAGTAATTTAATAGAAACCCACGCGTCTACACGACAACCAAACCGTAAGAAAGTGCTAGCAGAGGAATTAGATAATTTTTAAAACCTTTTTTCGAACGGGGTAAGAGAAACATTATTTGAGACCTCAACCAGAAAACTTCAAGAATGACAAATTAAGTACAGTATCAAGTTTTTCAAGAATCGAAGAGGAGTACGTTTTTCACGGAACTTAAAGACTTCGGTCCAATTCTACTGTTGGATGTGGCTCAAACTTTGATGGGCTGAATTAAAATTTAATCGCTGAATTTATACAATTCGACATAAATTTAATGAACATTGACCAGACCATCAAACGTGCTGCGGTACCGGAGAATATCGTCCGTTTTCTTTAACGGGAAAAAGAAGTAACAAGCGAACAAAATTTTAGAGAACGTTGATGAAATCATCTAAATTGATCTCTACTCAGTTCGAAAAAATACACTAGTACAGGACAGTATTAGATTTTGACGCTTCCAAATGAACTCCCATTTTACTATTTCTTTCACTTTTACATTATTGGCAACAACCAACAGACGTGTTCGAGGGCGATTGAAAAATTATTCAAATTTTTCGAAGCGAATAATACGGCCTGATGGAAAAATAAAAAATGATTGCCCCAGAATCACTAATAGTTATACAAAAGCGCATTGCATATTCTCGAAAAATTCAAAAAAGCCGAACGACTCAAAAGGGACGCAATTCAGCCACGTGAGACCAATCTGAACATTTTTCAATTTCTGCAATACAGTTCCAGAAAACTTGGGTAAAACCAAAATATTCCAACGCATACAAAATATGGAAATCGCGCGCAATGAAAAAGGAGTCCCTGCCATTAAACTTAATGGTCAAATGCACTTCATAGCAGACCATCCGAAGTCCATTTTCCTTATGAGTGATTGTAGTCGGAGCCGGACCTAGTTATTCCTGCTCTCAAAAGCTAGTACTCTGTTCAAGAGCAAGTGGGTAGCCCGAACCCTGCAAAGTGAAAGAGCTCCCTATTGTCTTGCGAGACTTTTGGGACGGATCTTTTCTCGCAGACGATCCCGAAAATTGGCTTTGATTTTCTCCTGCGGCATTGCGCGAAATTGGTCCTAGGAAAAGCGTCTTCCGTCATCTCTCCAGCCACATTTTCAACGACAGAACTTCGCAGAATGCGAAGCACACCGACGGCAGAAGGGTTGATACGCAAACAAAAATTTAGAATGTCTACGGAAAAAAAAAGGAATGAAATAACAAGAACCACTCTATCATGCATGGAGGATTTGAAATGACGAACAAGAAATAGAATCCTGAGTCATACGACGTTCGTACATTTGTATCCTTCTCGAAGATCCGCAAATATATCAGCAGTAAAGCGCGGAATGAAATCAATCCATCAAATAAAATATACTCTCGGAAACAGTCAGCAAGAACGTCGTCACAGGTAGAAGCACATTATGATCCCCTGGAAAGAAACAAAAGTTTCGATGATACAAGGTGCTGATAACATGCCTTCCACGTACTTACACAATGATGTTGTTAATTGGGATATGGATAAGCTTGACGAAAAATCCAATGAATCCCATGATTGCAAAACCGATCGCAGTCGCCATCGCGATCTTCTGGAATTCTGTAAAATATATTATGAATTATCCTGCCCGCGTTTTCCACAATCATAATTCAAGAATACCTTTGCGGTCGGGTTTTGTACATCTTTTGACCAAACGCAGAGAGTCCTTCGCGAACACGAAAGGCCCCAGCCATTTTCGTTATTGAACTAGGTAAAATTTAATTTTTATTTCTTAACCATTGCGCGTTCTTACACGATTTTATCTGAGTTTAAAAGTGTCTTTTACACTAAGACTCTTTTTTTTTGATACACATTGATAAATCCCAACCTCAATCGTAAAGGAGGACACCGTTGCGCTCCGCAGCGAATACGTTCGTCTCTCACACCGGAAAAAAATGTTCCTCCATCGGTAACTCAATCGGGATTTATGAATCGCCGCCATGAGGCTATGCAGAAGCGATATCTACAAGAAATAAGCTGAACTAAAATTACATAATCCGTGCAGTGACATCTGCCAGATTGATAAATGAATGCTTTTTTTCGTGGTTCCCAGGATTTCATTTTCACCCTGCTGTATCGAGGACATCGGAAGAAATGGAACAGGAAGAACCAAAGTACTATTCTTTCCCACTCTACCAAGTTTATTTTCTTCAATTATACTTTTTCTAAACTCTCTCGCCTTCCCAATGAGTTCTCTGCTGGTGCTTTTGGTGTGCAGCGTTCTCAGTGCACTGTAGTAGGAACACTCAAAGGTAGTGCTTTATTGCTTACATTGCTTTATTTTACAGATGTCACTACAACCATGTGGGATCGTTAGTTCCAACATCTAATCCTGATGTCGCATAGAATCATTTTATTCCCGTTTCCAGTGAGCTGGATCTGGCAGCGATCCTAGAATTATGTTCATTACCATACCAAGTAAACAGCTGATCTCCAGTTGACACTGTGAGCAGAAAATAATTGCTCAGCTCAATTATTTCCTGAAGCATAACACAGTCTTCCGTCATTCTGTGGGAAAAATCAAGCCTGATCTCAAATACTGTAGAAGGAGATTTTCTCCATAGAAAATGTGCATGGCCGCACACATACCCGGGCGCGGCAGGAGTTCAATGTCCTCAGTAGAAGTATGCCTGAGACCACACCGTTAATCCCAGTCGCAGGAATTAATGCTCGCGTACGCTCCCAAAAAGTGATTTCCATGAACTTTGATTCAACTCGCAGGTGAAATTCTTACCAGATTATTTTCGACGGAGTCCTAGTCCTGCCTGAATCTATCATTTGAACACAACCCACTACTTCGCCTGAACTACAGTACAATATACGATCTCTGTAACCTGCAAAATATCACATCATCGATTTCTGAAACACTCCGACAAGCCGTGAATCGTCACTGTCCGGCGGGATTGCTTGCGCCGCCATATTTGTATGTTCGGGCCAACAGATGATCCGGATTCGCCAACAGGGAGTCCGTCCCCGGCTCTTTGTTGGAAGGATCGGAATTACAGAACGAATACCTATTCGTAAATCAAACTGCATCATTGATACTTCTTCCATGACAATGCCCTCTTTTCCTAATTCCAATTAAGAGTAGTTTCTCCAAGACGTCAATTGAAATAAATTAGTATTCCCAGTTGAAAGAAGCCTTGAAGCAATTTTTCTGGACTGTCGAAGTGAACGCATTAAAAATTAAAATATACCACCTTTTTTAATGAACTCCAATATAAAATAAAATTAGTTCGGTTTAGTTTAGTACGGTACTTCACCCTTCGTATATCAGAATAATACCTGCGCTAGAGCTGAAGTGAAATGAACGGGTAACCCGAGGTAAATGGAAACCCAAAAATGAGTCGACTCCTCACTCCTAAGCCACCGAAGACAATCGTTTCGCTAATGCTCCTGCATGTATTTTCCACAGTTCCACTTACATAAAAACCAACTTGCTCACAAACGCGCACGAAGACGGCGTTGTTTGGTGTCTAAAGGTTTGTTTCTAGAGCTGAACGGTACTTTTGCAACCTTCTTGGCACTGCGCACCATGGCATGTTAGTTTAGGTTGTGGCTGCACAAGTAGTGTTATGTAAATCAAACTCAAATTCACTTCCACATGATACATTCCTTGTATGAACCCACATTAAAAAAAAAGCACGTGCATCACCAGACATCACTACCAGAAGTCACTTACGTGATCAAAAGCTTAATACGGTATACATGCGTTCAAAAAGAAATTTAACTTACAGTCGTCCCTATCTTCGATTTGAGAAGCTAATCCAGAGAATTTCTGCAGCTCCATGCAACAGTAGTCCAAGAAATTTCACGTTTCCGCGAAACTATACAGAAAAACCGGTACAACAAAATTTAAATGTAAGAACCTCTAAATTGAATGATTAATATTTGAATGGAATAAACAGCGTTCACGCGCAAGAAATCAAAGCAAAATAAAATGGGTAGAATCTTTTCCTTACCAAAGATGAGAACTTGAAACCAGACATCACGGAATTTAGAATTCATAAAAACCCCCAGAAATCCGGCCATCAAATTTTGGGAAGTGCATCAGTAATCATCCATACGCGAAAATATTTTCGATATTCGGTCGCAGATGTGAATAGCGTCTGAACCTCAGGGATCCACTGCACTTCTTCAAAATAATTTGCACCAAACATGGGGAATTGTATCGCTAATATATGGTCAGCAAGAAAAAAAAAGGGTTATTGCAAGGAAAACCTTCACTGGACAAAATTATGGAACTACTGTACTGTTTAGCTTCTATAGCAGATGCATTGACGCTCCATAATGAAAATAAAACTGATTCAACCCATGGTGTTCTTAATTGGAGGGACTAAATTTCACACCAAAAAAGTATTCCCTCGTGCTCATTTCTGATTCACATAGCAACGTCGAACATATGCGTTCAAAAAATACCAATTTCCAGCAACTTAACAGTAAAGTATTCATCAATAGAGAAATAATTCCCTGTCTCGAATAAGCCTCATTTTCAAAAGGACCACGATTAAAGGAAAAAATGCATGAAACTTTTGTTTTTCCTAAGCTGTTGAATTCTGCTAAGGTAACTAATAAACAACACGCATTCAATAAAATAATTTCTATTGCGTGAATGCGGGCTATTTTTCACTTACCCCGGCGAGCAGAAGTCACGTTCTCTCAATAAAAGGGTTCACATTTTGTATGTGAACAGAAGGTACCTTCTACTGCACTAACTGCAGTATGTCAAGTACCTAAGTTCGGTACCAGAATTACTCCATCTTGGAGGAATATAAAATACCGTACTGAGAGCGTAGAAATGTTCTTCAATTGCAATCCTGATTTCTTGAAAACTTCTTCGAAATTGGAATTTGAAGCAACTTTTCTTTTTAACATCACCAACACAACAAATTCAAGATCACGACACTTTTCTATTGGAAAATGGTTACTTTTTCTTGACCATTATCCATAATTATTTTAAACATGGACTCAAAACATATTGAAAATAATTGGAACATTAAAATTTGGCTCGTAATCCTTATTCACTCACAGTTAGGGGATGCCATTTAAACCGGAGTAATCATAAATTGGAGCAGTGGTCAGGAAATTACAGTATAAACAAAATTCTTTGTCTAAGTCCACCTTCGTCCATCCAAGAAAACTGGAACGAGAGAAAATAATTCAGGAAACAAATCTCTTCATGCGAAGTCTCAAAATTTTCGATCTATGTTTTTTTTAAAGGTAAATTTTCAGGAATTCGGGAAATCCATCAAGAGAAATCTGTAGATGAATTACTCGAAGAGTCGGTGCATCGTGAAACACAAGAGGATCAGAATCTGTTGCTCCTTGGTAAGATTATCACAAGGATGGGTGATCACACTACATTGATCCGTTCGCACAAAAAACATGAGAAAAATAGGAAAAAAAAAAAAAAAAAAAACGCCGAACGAACAGCCTCACAATCTTAACTCGTTGATCCACCTTTGTACCAACCAATCCAACCATGCCCTTCAAAAAAGGAAAAAGTTAAACGTTCTCTTGGTCTTCGTAAATTGCTGCGACGCAGCAACTGACCCAAAAATGTCCTCACTCAAATTTAGATCCAAGCTCCGCAAACATGGCTTTCCAAAGCGGTTTGTCTTTGATCAAGTAACAATTCACAATCAAGTTTCATGCCCAAGATTTTTCGTTGTGTTTCCCGTTTCGATCCAGAGAGCGAAGTGTCCCATTCCAACCAAAATTATTTTTTGGCTGTCACTTTCGAAATTATTGCATCGAATACTCGTTCACGCTAATGCGAAATCCTTGCGATGATCATATTTCGCAAATACTTAAAAAAAAACCGAGTAATTGGGTTAATTGGGTTCCAAGTGGACTTGCACTTTCTCCTTTGGAAAAAATGGTTTTGAGATAATCCTCGATACATTCACTGTACTGTACTGTACACAGAAATCGTCTAGACACTAGGATGTTTAATTGATTGTTTTGAAGTTGTTCTTTGTTCTCATCGAAATAAAGTCATCAAATCTCAAATTAAAAAAAAGAGAGTTGACCAAATTTTTAAAAATCTCATCACATTACTATCAAGTTCAGTTGATTTACTGCACATTTTTATTTTTCTGCATATTTTCTGTTTCAATTCTTGAAACTTCAAATTTTGCACCAAAACTGAAAATAAAAATCGATCTTTCACCATCTTATCTTGAATAAGTTACAGTGTAACCCTACCAAACCTAATTATACACAAAACTACATTTCTTCATTTCTGGGTTTCATCAATGAATGACAGATGAAATTATTGTACACAAATGTTAACCCATGACAGACCAGGAGCATCAGAACCCAACCGGGACCCGAGAGGAAATCAAGTTAACTTGGAACCAGATCCAGTGGTAAAGTAACTGGGTACCCGTTCACATGCTCGTCAAATGGATTGGAAACAAGAACACAATGCATAAAATAAAGATTATAATCCTCCACATTTGAGTTTCGTCACATGACGATGAAGGGAGAACTTCAGCTGGTACCTGAATGATTCCTCTAAACGTAAAAGAAAGTCCGAGCCTACTGGCATCTGATGGAAAATCATGAAAATCATAAGTTCACTAGGAGCCCGATCAACCCAATTTAAGGTCATTCTAAAATCTAAATTGTCCGTTGGGTATACATGTACATCCCGAAACCTCGGAAGTCGAACTCAACATCAAATTTCGGTCTCTCAAAATTTTTTTTTTTTGCGACGAAGAGACTCAAGAAAAAGGAATGCAGAAACTTAAAATACAAAAAAAGTACCATGGATTCAATAATCCTTGACATGTTCTGGGTCAGCGGGACGTCTGGCTCTCAGCGCCACGTACGGAAAGGATAATATTTCGCACTTTTCCGAAGGCCAAAACTGCAACACGGGTTTCTCGTTCGGACACTCGGTACGAGCGTGGAAATACGCAAACAGAACGCATCCGGAATAAGCAGCAATGCACACCAAAACGTGCCAAAACCCGTGCAAGTAAGGAAACTGGATGCTGGACCAGGCGTCGCAGAACAAACGATCGTTAATCCAGCAAAACAACGCAGCTCCCCAGAGAAACGATGAGCGGATTCCGAGTCGCATCGCTTTTCCTTCGCCCAATCTGAAACAAATAATCCACGCAACTGTACTGGGATCACTGGCGCGTTTCGGAGAACGGCTTCGATACGAATTTTCATCTTTTAATTTGATGGTATAGTACAATAAGAGACATAAGCTACAGAATTCACTGTCTCCACTTCACACAAAAAATGATTTGCGGATTTTAAAGGAAGCATCAAATTCATAAACTTTTCCATTCGCCCGACGCCCTCAAATTTCTACATACTGTATTCTTGACGCGTTACAGATAAGTCGCCTGATCTCGATTTCACTATATCTTACTGATTGGTCTTCGGTGATACTCATTTATTACATTATATAATGTTTGCTGTTCTATTTAGCTTAGTTGGATTCGGCCAATGCTAATCTGTGTCAATTCGAGGTAGGTTTACAACAGGTTTTCTAGGTTTCATCGTAGAAGATCGAATTACCGTAGATTGATTTCGGTCACAATAGCGAGTCACGCGACACCTGTCCGACATTCTAGTCTAGGAAGCTAGTTGAGGCGTGGAAGGGAGAAGAACGACTAAACATTAGTTTTGCATGTTACCGTCGTTAAGGATGCGCTACTTTCCTCGAGGTATGTGAAGTAGAATTACTGTGGGCTAATTTTTGGCTACGTAAAAGGGCTTCTCCATTCGGACTTTACATAATCAAACATAAATTCGGACAGATGATCCATACCTGCGTAGTTCAACCATCATAATAATGCTTGTCGGTATTCCCATTCCGATCAAAGCGAAGGCGTTCAAAACCGGGTTAACGCAGCCCAAGAAGGAGCACAAGATGGTCGCCACCATCATCAATATCTTGAAGTGCCTCTTATTCTCGCGGAAATATGGCAAATGGTATCGGTTCGGGTACCACAGTGACAGACTGAACATCATCAGCCACAAAATGGCCATTTCGTCCAATAATTGCCCGAGCTGAAAGATATATGATTCGATACAAAAAAAAGTAATTTTACAGATGAGATTGGATATTCACAACTCACCAATGAAAGCGTGGCGTGGAAATACATGGAGCACAAGCCGACGATGATCAGAAGAATCCAAACGAAATAAATTTCTCTCTGAATATGCTGAGCATACGGCTGAAACAGGATTAGCAACACCGGCGGAAACAACAGGAATCCAAAGTTGCTCATCTGAGAACGAGTAATCCAATCATGCAGTCAAATGACGTTCAATAATGCAAGAAAATAATTTACTTCACAGAATTCGTCGAATAAATTACGCATTAATGAACTTTCAATCCTTCAGGAATCAAATTGTCCCTAAAGCCGCCATAATGAACGTAAATGAGATTAAAATGCGAAAAAAGGATTATAATTGTATATTCAATAGCATATCCCGCTCTGAATTCCTCTTTTGCGCATAGGCGCACTGCTCATATAGAAAATTAGTGTTTATCCGGTTTTAATAAGCGTAACTTTAGTCAAACATCTTGCGAACCAGATTCTCAGCCCTGCTTCAAGTATTTTTTAATTTTGAAACAGTTCCTTAGATCTTGCCGCAGGCGATTCACTCAGGTTTTGTAACATGAAATTCAACCCATCAACCAGTGAATTGAATTTACCAGAGAAGGTCGAGTAATTCCATAAAACACATAATTTAAATAAACCGCAATTCGAGTCAATCGCCAAACTCACCGTGTTGACGAATTCAGCAACGGATGATACAATGGAGTAATTGTCCTCACACCAATCGACCGGAGAACTGCCAGGTATCATGGAATCCAACATTTGGTTTCTTTCATCGCTACCGGGTTCTTTTTCCCCCAGGACGAACGATGAAATATACAAGGACCACAACGCGACATGCAGCGCCATAACAAAAGCTCAATTCCAAAAACAACTCTGCGAAGAGAAAAAATCCAGAAAATCAGTCCCGAGCAAGGTTTACTTCTTTTCGAAATTTCAAAAAACTTTCGGAAGTACAGTTTTTCGAAGTACAGTGCCTAGCTCACGGAAAAAATGTTCAACTAAGAGACCATTAATGGGAAAATGATATCATGTTTGAAGAGTAATGTACTCACAAAAACAGATTTAGTTAGATTCTTGACCAAAAGACACGAAGTATGGGAACACATTTTCGAAATTCGCTTCACGAGAGTATCGGACGCTGATCACCGAAAATAGTGATGGAAAATATAATTGCCCGTTTTGCTATACGTCGGAATTTTACATTGATATTATTTACGAAATAAGATGAGTACTTTATGAACAGTTTGTGAACATTCCGAAATGCAAGTCTATAAAGAGCCTAAAGCCAAAACTCAATCTCAAATACGAAGAATATCCACGACAGAACCCATGGATTCACCAAAACGTACAGTATCACAATAATTTGTTTGTTGAATAATACGCTTTGATTAATGCTAAGCTTAGGGATGTCAAAAGGGAGAACGAAGGATGGTTCGCACGTTTCCTCAGTCCTGTAATACGGCTTTTCGTGAGATAATTAGACCCAATGTTTTTTGGGTGTCCCAGTTTTTAATGCAGATTTTCTCCACAGTTGAATTCACGAATTTGACAACTTTTCACTCGAAAATGAAAATTTCAGAGCATACATTACCTTGAGCATCTTGAACAGATGAATAAATCGGTCATATCAGAACTTTTTCTCACCAGAACATTGTTCAATACTGATACAAGAAATAAGAGGATATCAAATTGAAAAATTTTGCAGCACTTCGACCTCAGCTAAATCATGTAAGTATGATTCAAAACTTACTGTTGTTTACAAGCTAATTGGCAACAGAAGTCAGAAAATGCATTAAAGTCAAACCTCTTCAAATGGAATTACAAGGGACTAGCAAAAAATGTAAGTTACATGGGTTTCGAGTCAGGGAAACAAGCATCTTGTCGGGGGAAAGAAAAGAATTACAGGAAATTTTATTTGGTAATATTCTAGGCGTTAAATTGCTTCTTAACCGAGATTACAGGATGCTAAACTTGGAGGCAAGGGATCGTTCGCCAAACTGATATTTCACTGAATCACTTCCGTTCGAAACACATTAATTTCCTTTTTTTTACGCTTTTCCCCTTCCAGTGTGTCAATAGAACAATAGCCAAAAGCCTCGAGGAAAATTCAATTTATGGAGGTTTGAGGAGGAAAACTTCGAGTTAGGCTTTTTATAGCATTGTTTCCCAGGGAATTCAAATAGAAGCTTAAAAAATTTCGAAATACGGATGCATTCGACTTGGAGAGGTTCGCATTATCGAGGTTAAATTTTAATACATAAGAATCGCGTTCCATCTCCATCGATCTAAACGGGGGAAAACAAGACTGAGGAAACTCACAAACCAACCGTAGCAAATAGAAAAGCACGGAGAGTAAAAAGCATGTAACATCCTTGATGAATCAGAAATCCCGGCCAAAAAAGTGAACTCTCTACCGAATGCAACAATGACGCAAATTCTTCTCATTCAGACCCGATAAACTTTCGCCGGACTCACATTTTACATCGATTCCACAAAATTACGAGCCACTCGACCGTTCCCAAACGGCGGGAATGCGTCGTTAAGAACAGCCGGGTGAGCATAACGAAACTAACACAGGGCACCGAATTCCTTCCACGAAATAAAAATAGCAACTTTTCCGATCCAATGAGTCGAATAACAAATGATCCAACACCGAAAAATAAAAAGAAAACTCTCGGTCACTGATTCCGAGAAAAACATGGATTCAGGAAAAATATAACAGTATCTTATACAAGCTGAAGAGCACCAGATCGATCCACAGCGGGATTGCCAGTCTCACTTCCAAGAGCTCAACGGAGAAAGACCTGTTCAATTCTTTAGGCATTAAATTACAAAGATCACGATCATACAGATTTAAAATTTAAAATTGACTCTCCTGTCTTGCTGCACGGAATCGTGACCCAACAATGAAGATATGCTCGCGCATGTAATTTTCATACATTTTTTTGGAAAGAAGTCTTGAGACACTGAGTATCTTGAAAAATTTATAGTGACACTTCTACATATTGCACCACCCACAAAATCCACGAGAACAAAATATTTTCATAACAGTCGATAAATTCATTCATAAAATTATTCCGTCTTACTGCATAGCGCATGATTCTATAATGCTTTGAAGCTCGCACGGAAATCACGTAAATGAATGGCACTTTGTTCGATTTTCTACAAAATACTATCATGAGTATGAGCCTCGAATCCAGACGAAAATAACCATAAAATCCATGAAGTGGGATTCGAATGTGACATGGATATTTTCCGAGTTAAAAGGTAGAGCTTCGTGAAATTTTTCGAGGAAAACCGGCTTGAAAAGGAATGTAAGTGAAGTACAGTAATACAGCATATTAGGAATAAAATTAATTTTCTTTCTCCACGCTACGGAAGTTATTTTTCATCGGCATATTTTCAGAAAAATTATCAAGGACCATTTCCGAAGAGTTAATTCTCAAGAAGTCGGAAAATAATGATGTCTCGTTTCTATGGAAATATTTTAGAATCTAGTACTGTACTGTACACGTAAAGGAAGAATTCCTTTCTGGGAATGACGACCCGAAAAAATAATTTTGAAGTTCTCGGTGATTCGTGCTCATTGGCAAGGTTGGGCTTTTGAGAAAGAATAACCAGATGCTATCTGTCACCTCATTCAACCTCGGGAAGAGTTTCTAGCGAAAAATCCAGTTTTTGATTCTCAAGCATTTTCAGTTTCTCATCTTCAAGTCATTTGAACTTCAAGAAATAGGCCTGGCAAGCACGCGAATGAATCCACCCATTTCTCCGAACAACACAAGCAATTACACAAGGTGGGACAAACTGAGCAAGGAAAAACAAACGAAACAATACCACGAAATCTCCTAGAAATCATCGACGCGATTCTTGTTCCGGCATCTCCTCCTTCAGATCTCTCTCAAACACCATGGCGAGGAAAACGCACGGAAGGGACTGCGGCTTACATTTCAGAATCCACGATTCCGAGCGGACGACACGGGAAGCGATCAAAACCAATAATGCTTGTTCCTTCATCTTATATGTACACTTTCAATGAAATCATCATTCTCCAGCCGTTTGATGTGCCTCAGGACGTCTTTCTTCGTGATGACTCCGAGTAAGCGCCTGTATTCGAACCAGAGTTCGCATTAACTACAGATTCGGACATTTCCCATAGAAATCGGGTCGGAATACAATAAGTTTTGGAGATTGCAAATTTTCAATCCTCCAGTTTGGAGAGACGAAGATGAACAATTATAATCTCAACATGCGAAGGAAATTTCCTCATGCACCATGCATACAACTCCTCAACAGTTTATACAGGTTTACAGTTTATTGTACGTGATTTGAAGAAATTTCCATCGAAAATATCTATAAATGTTTACGAATTCCTTTTAAATGATAGATGTTAATATAAATTGTCCTCTCAAGAGCAAGATTCTAGCGATTATTAAATTTCAGGTACATTTAATTAAATCTTAATTTTGGTCCTTTTTATTTTAGAGGAAGGAATAAATAAAAATACATATCTTTCATTACTGTTTATAGCAGGAAGAATGCTTTACTTTGAAGAGATGTTTCGTTTTTTATTCGAAAGAATGCTTTATTTTCAAGTAAAATTTCTTCTATTCCTTCGATGAACACATATCACAACGAAGTTTATGAGCATTATTTCGCTCGTTTCTGATAATTTTTTCAGTTATTTTTCTGAATTCAATGTTGAACACAAATTTATTCATACAATCCCAACTAATGATTAATACGGTAAATAAACTTAGGAGAGTCATTTCTAAGGAATCAGATCAAATCAAGGTATCCATCAAAATCAAATTGGAGGAAGCCTTCAGAAAATTCTTAAAAAAAAAAATAAGTTTCACCTGACTCCGAGGAAAGGTTCAGGAAAAAACATTGTGAAATAGGTCAAAGCTACTCCCACGAAAGCGTTAATCTGTTGGTCCCAAGAAGGTCAAGGTGAAGACCGCACGAGTCATCACATTCAAAAATAGGATAGAATTCTAAAAGCAAAAAACCACGGCGATGGAATAAAAAATTTCGAGAATTAAAAAAGATTTACCCGTTATGAGTGACCAGGGTTTGACGGATGCCCAACTTCCTGAACATGTCAATAACCGTTTCCATCGGCGTGTGATCAGTGATGGTGTTGGGAGCCAAATCTACTAGTCTTCGCAAGCGAACTGACGGAGGACCATTGGGGTCGACTGACATGTACCTCGCATCTGCTGATGAGCTGAATAACACTTTTGAATCCCCACAAACGCCTTCCATTGTTCTTCTCGCATTTCCTAAAAAAAAGAAAAAAAAAAGACACATAGAACATAAAAATCTTGTATCACAGACAAATAAGAGGCCCCTGAAACCTCTCACCTAACTTGAAATAGCTGTGTATCATTTCGCACACACGAAGAGGATTGGTTCAACAATTTTGATACCGCTCTAAAGATTAAGGTTAAAAAAAAAAAAATAAACTTCAGTCTCGTTAACTTCAAGTTCGAATTCATTCAAGTACTGTTCGATGTCATTCTTCAACTAATAATGTTTTCTCGAAAACCCACTCATCGAAGCGAAGCCGAAAACGGCAGCTTTTTCGGATTTCTCGGGATCAACGCAAAGAATTGAAGCATTCCTCTCATCAGTTTTGAATTCTTTTCAAAAATCTTGACGTAACTTCGGAAACTTCCAGCCCATCGATTGAATTTTAAGAAACACTTACACAAGCTCAAGCGCAAAAAACGAAGAACACGAAAATTATTTCATTGGTGAACAGTGAGACCATTCGAGTATTTCTTAAACGGGGCAGTGTAGACCTTGATTCTACGCGATAAGAATTTTTTTTCTACTCGGCTGGGCAAAAAATATAATAAATACAGAAGCCTGGAATATGTCTTTAGTACGATTTCAAAGAAAAGGTGGTGATGATCGGCGGGAAAAGACTAGAAAAAAAAATCTGTCGAAATATGAGTCGTCAGCATCGATCTAGTTCATAGCAGAACACTCGTCCACATACCTAACGCGAGAATCAAGTCTTTCCTGGCGACGAATCCCACCAGGTACTGAGACTCCTTGGACACAACGACCGGAAATCCGTTATGATCCGTGTTCTTCAGAATATGCTCCACCTCATCAACCGACATGGAGTCTTGCGTCAAAACCACAACCGGATCCCCTTGCCGTGGCTGCATAACCTCTGAAGCTCGTGTCGTGTGCGCGTACTCTTCTTTGGCATCCAAAAACGGGTATCCATTGAGAAGAATGTGAGCATCGTAAATGCCTTCTCTTCCGAGGGCATCTGCGACCCATTTTGAAGCCATGGCGGCCGCCATTAGCGGCACGATGTATCTCACACCCCCGGTTAGCTCGAACATTATGACAACGAGGGACACTGGAAAAACGAAGGAGAGTTATTTTACTACGTTTCATCTGTGACTGCTACTCATTAAGAAAATTCTTTTCTCGAAATGTATCTTATTTCGCTTTATACTCGACTGTTATTTAGAAAAACCTGGTCTTCCTCGTCGCAGCTGCAACCCCGATGATCCAATATTACGTTACCAAAATTCGCTGCAGAAACGCTGTCATGCATTCTAATTAGGTATACATTATATAGGTTAGATATGTCAGTTCTTAGGTTTATTAGTTTCACATGCTGGCATTTAAAAGTTCAGGTTCAGGATTGGTCATGACTTTGGCATCAGGAAAGGCTATGCAAGGTACGACAGGATCCTTAGACAATTTAGTACGAAGTTGGGTAGGGTAAGTACCGTAACTCAAGTTCTTAAGACTTGGTATTAGGTTGAGTTCAGTCAAGCAGGACTTCAGCATGAGCTCAGTTATGAGTCATTATGACTGAGGCACCAGGTTTTTTTCTGACTTACACTTTACTTAGTACAGTTGGCATCACGTTAGGATAGATTATACTTGATTTGGCATTGGTTTGTTAAGAATTGGATATTGGGTTAGGTTATGCCTGAACTATGGGGGTTAGATAAGGTTTGTCAGGACGGATACATTTTGGATAGGGTAGGTTAGTTATGCCTCATGTGTTACATTGGTTATGTCTCAAGTACCACTCACTTTTTTTTTCTAGAAAATGAAGTCAGAAAAGTGGGGTACACGTGGCATGCAAGTATACTTTACTTTGAAAAAAAAAACATGAAACAATACTGGTGCAAGTCAGAAGTCATTCCAAGATTAAAAAAATAAATAAAATGTGTCGTAGATATTTGATTCTGCATGTCTCAAAATAAAAAAATAAATAAATACATAAAATGTGTCGTAGATATTTGATTCTTCATGTCTTGGGCACTAAATTCTTCAGGTCTCGGGCACAAAATTCTTCATGTCCTAGGCATTAGAATATCAGATTCCTCATATCGTAAGTATTATACTAGATCGGTCAGTCTTAAACAGTTTAATTTAGGTTAGGATAGTCAGATATAAGATCAGCTTACTCGGGTGCGAGTTTCGTGAGAGATAATTCGTGATTGATGCAGTTTTGGCGCAAAGAAAATGAAAGGCGTAACTTCAACAAGGAAAAGATTTGGAAAAAAAAATCAACATTAATCCTGAACTGAAACGTACCCGTCATTCTCGTAACGCCTCCAAGAACAGCAGCAGCTCCAACCATTGCATAAAGTCCCGGCGTGACGCAATGCGACTGACTTTCACATTCTCCTTGCCAAATCCACGACTTAGGGTACATGCTTGAAAAAAATAGTTACACGATCTGTTGAATCAACAGTGTCGACAGGGGCAGAAAAATGTACACATGATGAGCTACTCGGCTTCTCGAAACTTTCTAATTTTTTCAATTTTCTTTCGCAGAGGACGATGAGGAATTCCCAGGACGGGGATATGTTTAAAAACAAAACACAAACGTCTAGATTCTCAAAAATCAATTTTTAGTGCATCCCAAGTTGAGATGTGAAACGGAAAAAGTCACACGGAGTATGCATAGTTTTTCCCTCTGACGGACTAACGCAGTCTAAAAAATAAATAAATGAAAATAACTTTTTCTCAGGCTCAAGTCAAGACTGGAGCTGCTATCTGGATACTCACAAAGCTATCTGTTCCATTCCGATCCCTGTCATGCGTCCAACAATAGCACCCATGCAAAGTGACGGGATGAAAAGCCCAGCGGGCACTTTAATGCCGAAAGTGAAGACCGTAATGACTAGCTTGAAGATCAGAGCGAGTGCTAGTTTCCACAAAGCGTTTCTCACTCCAGTCCCTGCCTCTGCCATCATGATATCGTTGATGTTTGTGAAGTTCCTCTGGTAATCACTGAATAATTGAGAGACAAAAATCCATTTCAAGATGAAACCCTCATTTTTTTTTGTAATCGTTCAAGTGCTTTATCATCCAATTGGAAATATTTAAATTTCATCCTACTCATTTAAAAAAATCTTTCGTTAAAATAAAAAAACGCTTCTTAAAATTAACGAAAAGACTTATTCAGCTACACTATAATCCCCGGCCACCCTTTCCAAAATGAACGGCTTTTCGTTGCATGAAATACAGTCTTCTCCAAACACGCACAAAATCGCCCAAACTAATCTGAATTAACCTCTTTTCTTCGAGACAAAACTTGACGAACCAAACTCAAAATCTGACTCACGGTTATCCAACTAACACGATTCAACGCAAGTCTCACAAAACAAAAACAAGTATAGAAATAGCTTATTAAAAGTGAAGAGAGCAGAGTCAAGGACATCCGGAGGACGTGAACTACTGTACTTGGATAGCATCCCAAAAAATTGCATTGATTTCGAATGATGTTTTTCGCAAACAGAAGGAGAATAAAATTTGGAAAAAGATATTCCGGAATTTTGGAAAAACTGCTGAAGAAGTGGTTCCTTTTCAAAATTACTCGTATCATGTCATATTTTTCTGATACACCACTTGTACTTATATTACGCAATATTCCAAGTGTCGCACTAAAATTGCGCATTAAAAACTGAGAAATCCTTGATTACGCCATAGGGATTGTCATTATTCAACCACCGTTAAGAACAGAAATCAACTTTTTTTTAAGGTAGAGAATTACAAAAAGGTCGTAATCACCAGAGTTCGTGATGATCAGTGACGCCGCATTGGGAAAAAAGCGCGTAGATCAACTGCGATGTACTCATACGAGTGTAGGGGTTCGGGTACGCAAGCACTGCAGTAACCCCGGCAACCACAAGCACTTCAGTAACCGGATACTGTCCAAGTTTACTCTCCTTCCTGAATTTGCACCACCTGATATTCGCTTTAATGAACACCGAAGCAATGACACCCTGCGATCAAGAACAAATCAACACTTGATTAATTCCGTCAAGACATGAAAAAAATATCACTTACTCCGAGAATTCCGAGGCCTATGAACGGCAGTAATTCGATGAACATCCACGGCTTATTGTACTCCACGTAAAACAACACCGAGTGCTCATTTCCGAAGGGATTAATAGAAGATAAAATAAAAGCCGCCACCAAAGCACAGAAGAAACTCCTCCACAGAGTTTTCAGCGGAAAATAATAGCTGACTTCCTCGAGTGAGAACAGAACTCCACCAATGCCACGTGGCTTACGTTGTCTGTGAGGACGCCGTGAGCGTCGACTGTTTTAGAGAGCGAAAAAACGAAGTAAGGAAGGCATAAAGCCTTTGTTCATCCTCTTCTATAACGGATCTTATCTTTAGTAGTCTTTACGAAAATGTTCCTCATAATCCACTCAAACAGAGGTTCAGAAACAGTGCTCGACGAAGACCAAAGAGTACGGATTTACGGCAGTCTTCAGATTGGTACGTCCTGTTCATCATTAATACATGACGGTGTTCGAATATTACCTTCTGGATGCTTGAGAATCACCGATGTTTTTTCATGTTTATACATAAATTATTTTTAAACCTCCAATTGAAGACAGATTAGTACACACTAGAACTTATTAATTTTTATTCCTAATGACACTGCATAATATCTTCATTCCGGTGCCACATAATAAAACTTATATTCCACAAACATACATTATATTTAAAAATACACACCAGTGGAACGTCTACTAACCAACGGTACACCTACTAAAGCGTATGACCTAGCTAGAGAACCACCTACAGTTTTCACGGACTTCTGCAGCAGTTGAGGAATATAACAAGATTTCATTCACTCGAAAAAATATGGCAGATTCTAAAAACAAAGGTTTATTATTCAAATCAATAATTCCTGCAATTCAAGATGGATATCCCAAGAAGGCTTCATCAAACATGTTTTCTGAGAGGACTGTGCGAGTAAAATAGGTAGAAAATCTCAGCACTGAGACTTTGAAAGAAGTATGTACCTATGCAGCAAGCGATGTGGACAAGCGGACCTTCCTTGCCCAGAGACAAACCAGCTGACACCGAAAGCATGACACAAATGCTCTTGATCAAAAGTGTCCATTTCCCGAGGTAGCCTCTGATGATGAAACCACTGAGGATTGTTTTAATCTGTAAAAAAAAAAAAACAAATAAAGAGCAATGAGCATCAATAATCTCATCAAAAATTCGGCCATTTTCATAATTGGGTCCTCGGGATTCAAAAATGTATAGCTGACAAAAAAAAAATCAAACGAAAGGACAGTTTATCCAGAATAGACAAAAATCAAGTTAACCTGAGGTATTCTCCTCAAAACCATAAAACCAAGCTGACATGAACGAAGATTGAGCGACATTATGCGCCATTCAACACAATCAAGTGACCTTGGAGATCGGGCTTTCAAAGGAAACGAACAACTAATTGCGTCGTTAACCAGCTTAAAACAAATACAGTAATGCAATTTATTCCATAGGCAAGAATAAATCCATGAGAGCTCAGAAGAGATTAGAACACGTGCCCCTTTGAAGACATTACTTTAACCCACTTTAAAACAACAACAAAATCAAGAAAAGGAAACCTTTCCTGAGAGCTGTAACACAAAACTAAAAATGAAGAAATGCACGCACCTCAGGGATACCAGATCCACACGCATATGGAGCAAAGATGCGCACGAGCAAGGCAGCAAGGGCCGCAAGGTGCACCGAATGCAACAGACACTCCTGCGGCACTCGCAGCTGACAAAATCTCTCGCTTTTTTGCTTCATTCCTTCCGTATTTCGGAAACAAGTAGGAGAAGATATTGCCTAGAATAGAAATCATCAATTTACAAAAATTTTCCACATAATCCACTCAACCAGAGGTTCAGAAACTGTGCTCGACGAAGACCAAGGAGTACGGATTTACGGCAGTCTTCAGATTGGTACGTCCTGTTCATCTTTAATACATGACGGTGTTCGAGTACTACCTTCTGGATGCTTGAGAATCACCTATGTTTTTTCATATTTATACATAAATTATTTTTAAACCTCCAATTAAAGACAGATTAGTGTTCACTAGAACTTATTATGTCTTCTTCCTAATGACACTGCATAATATCTTCATTCCTGCGCCACATAATAAAACTTATACAGTATTCCATGAACATACATTATATTCAAAAATACCCACCAGTGGAACCGTCTACTAACCAGCGGTACACCTACTAAATGCTTATGACCTAGCTAGAGAACCACCTACGGTTCTCACGGACTTCTGCAGCAGTTCCAGGAAGAAAATCTAGAAATACTGTATATTTCAGCATAAGTTTAGCGACTTCAATTGAGGAATATAACAAGATTTCATTTGCTCGAAAAAATAAGGCAAATTCTAAAAACAAAGGTTTATCATTCAAATCAATAATTCCTGCAATTCAAGATGGATATCCCAAGAGGGCTTCATCAAACATGCTTTCTGAAAGGACTGTGCGAGTAAAATAGGTAAAAAATCTCAGCACTGAGACTTTGGAAACAGCTATGTACCTATGCAGCAAGCGATGTGGACAAGCGGACCTTCCTTGCCCAGAGACAAACCAGCTGACACCGAAAGCATGACACAAATGCTCTTGATCAAAAGTGTCCATTTCCCGAGGTAGCCTCTGATGATGAAACCACTGAGGATTGTTTTAATCTGTAAAACATAACAAAAAAAGAGACCAATGAGCATCAATAATCTCATCAACAATTCGGTCATTTTCATAATTGGGTCCTCGGGATTCAAAAATGTATAGCCTGACAAAAAAAAATCAAACGAAAGGACAGTTTATCCAGAATAGACAAAAATGAAGTTAACCTGAGGTATTCTCCTCAAAACCATAAAACCAAGCTGACATGAACGAAGATCCGAGCGACATCATGTGCCATTCAAAACAATCAAGCGACCTTGGAGATCGGGCTTTCAAGGGAAACGAACAACAAATTGCGTCGTTGCCCAGCTTAAAACAAATACAGTACAGTAATGCAATTTATTCCATAGGCAAGAATAAATCCATGAGAGCTCAAAAGAGATTAGAACACGTGCCCCTTTGAAGACATTACTTTAACCCTCTTTAAAACAACAACAAAATCAGGAAAAGGAAACCTTTCCTGAGAGCTGTAACACAAAACTAAAAATGAAGAAATGCACGCACCTCAGGGATACCAGATCCACACGCATATGGAGCAAAGATGCGCACGAGCAAGGCAGCAAGGGCCGCAAAGAAGAGCGAATAGAATATGTAACATAGGTATGCCAAAAAGATGCCGAACCCTGAGTAAGCATCGGAGAGTCCCAACAATTGTGGCCAAGCATACCACTGCAAAAAATTATACACCAAGTCAGCACACATAAATTATGAAAAAATTGGGGAAAAAATCAAATGAACGATCATGACGAACCTCTTGACACTTGGTGCCCGCAATGTCATCGAAGAAGGTTTCATTCGACGCCCAGCAACATTGTTCTTTATTCAACCAGAAGGCTTGCGGACAAATGCCTTCCCTCAGATCGACCATCCAAGACGCACCAATGTCAATAACCGACGCAACAGTGCCTTCAAGGAATAAAAAAAAAACTCCATGCGTGACATGATTTTTTTTTTACAAGCAACACAAATTAACAAAACACAAAAATATGGCCGCGATGAGTTTGCATTGAGAAAAATAAATATCCATGCCTGTAAATATGAAATTCGAACACTTATACCTCCACAGGGACAAAACTTGAGTTTCATCATAGACATTCACTGAAAACTGAATGATCCCTACTCACTTAATTGTAATACAGTAATTAAAAATTCGATCTTTGTATCACACAAGTATTGTTGTTATTTTCTTTCCCAGAGCTTTTGTAGTTATTCTGCGTTGAAAATAAATCATATGGGAATTTATTCAAGGAACTATAGCATTAACGAAATTTCCAAGGGGTACGGAAAGGAATTAGGAACGTTAGCTACTATAAGTCATCGACCATTTCATATACTGAACATTTTTTCGCTTCTCACTGGAACGGATCAAACGCAATTACCAAGACATCAAGTCACTAAAATTACTATAAAATTAAAATTAGAAGAAAGGCACGTCAAACTTGATGGAATATTGTACACCTAACGTACCAGCGGCGACACCGACGAGAAGCACGCAAACCCAACCAGACCAGGCATCGTGCGCACCACGCAAGAGATCACAAACGCTATCACTTTTCTTCTTCACGATCCACCTGCAAGACAGACCAAAAGTAAAAAATTGCCATTTGGAAAGCTTTTTCGAAATACTTGCCTATGTCGCATTCGATCTCTCGCGATATCACGCTGCCAGTCAATTGTATGGAAATCGTCGTACTGAGCTACTCCCGGGGGAAAATCGTCTTCATTCAAAGACCCACTCGTATCAGCGTGACTCGTGTAACTTGTGTCCACGGATCCTGTTGCGAAGACTCGCATTATTCGCCACATCCAAAAATAAATAAGGGGCGTGCTTAATTTTAGCGTACCCCTAGTTTGACAAAAAATAAGTCTTCGAATAGAAGCTCGTTCTCGAGAAAATGCAAAAAATCTCAAGAGACAAATGAAATTACTAGCCACAGTAAAGGAAAAAGGGGGTTTCACGCAGTAAACAAAGACAAACGAACTCACAAATGTTAGTCACACTTCGAAAAAATGAATTACAGTACGAATAAGAATGATCAAACTGACAGTTCAATCTCATGAACCGCAGTTTTCTAGAGTTTAAACATTTAATTTACAAAAATTGCCGCTAAAAAAAAAGGCACCAAAGAAACCAAATAACAAAAATTCAAATTTTTATAAATGTCAAACTTCGGCATTACATTTCCCATAAAGATATAAATCAATATATCTCAGACCTGGATCTCGAAGCCTTTAAACACTAGCATTGAGTAAAATACAATTTGATTCGAAAGAAAGCAGGCGGAAAATCGGAACTTTTCATGATGAGGGACTGTCCAAAAAAGCGCATGATGATCTCTTCTGTAGAAAATAGAAACACCACAGCAGAATATCTAAAGATTATTTCTATCAAGTAAAATTTGATGCTTACTCAGGGAATCTCATTAGAAAGACTATAAAATGGAAATAGAATGCAACATTTGTCCACATTTCAGTAGGTCATGAATGTTTCCCATCACCACGTCTGAAGGATAAAAAAAGTGATGTTCGAGAACACAAGAAGGTCAACGAACTCACCATGCAGACCCGCAAAACTGACAATCCCAATGCCATCTGTTTCCAGAAATTACGCGGCAAAAAATGAAAAGAAGTTGATCAGTCAACGGAGGTTCCACATCCAACATCAAACAAGAAAAGAAAACCTCAGAAATTGGTAAGACACGCAGGAAGAACACGAAACAGGAAAACAAGAGAATACTGATGCAAGAATGAATGCTGAAAACTTTCAACTCAACCAGTATAATCGGTGCTATTCATTGCACGATCACCATCCCCAATGCCCCCTTCTCCGGGTGTCACGTCAATCATTTCCTCATCCGACTTCCTCCGATCTTTCTTCACTACGGAATTCCCTTCTCTTCTGACCATTTTGTGCTAAAATACGGAAATGACAATTCAATTTTCACCCAGTGTTAGTAAAAAAAAAAAAAAGATACTAACACTGGGTGACTCGAGCGACTGATAAAACAAATCCGGCGACTTTGGTTGTTGACGCTGCACGAATTTCAAGGGATCTGTTTCCATCGTAGACCACGTCCCATGCTTTTGAGAATTCCTGAAGCAACTGCAAAAAAAAAAAAAAAAAATTCAACGTCGATACGAAAGATGAGCTAGAAATACTTACCTGGTTTTCCGTCCGAGAAAGAAAACACTCACACAATAAACACTTCGAAGCGATAGATATTCTGAAATTAAGGAAAACCACAAAACTTAGGACACAAAGTCATCAACCAACGCATTTCCCGAAGATGCGCGGCAAATCAGAGAAGGCGCAAAAAGTTAAAGAGGATAAACCAATGCATGAAAAAAAACGCGCTCACTGATCTCTGTAAATAATTCCACGCATTGAAAAAAAACCTTCGACAAAACAAATCTTAGCTACAAAAATTTTTGAACGCTCCATGTCAAAACAAGTGCACCGCCAAGCAAAGCTGAAAACGAAGTCAACTGACCCCAAAACGGATCATCCCGAAAAAATAGAAACTTCCTTGCGCGGTACTCAGAACCCTTCGCTGCAAATTTCTCTCTGATGACTCTTTCAGCTCGCCCAGAAATCGGCGCTAGTAAAACCTTCCCGCTACCCAAATCTCTCAAATCAGCCCCCGCAATTCTGGATAAAACGTCGTTCAATGTAGTGGCATCAAGTGAACCCCTTTTACTCGTTACAACCAGGAATCCAGGTCGATTTCCGATCACAGCCTCGTCGCTTGATAGATCCATCGTATTGATCCTGGCTCGGATAACGTTCACTTTATTAATCATCTCTCTAAGGGCGTGTTTAGCTTCCTGAAAAGATAAGTAATTTCCGGAAACTTTCGACTTGGAGACGTGGACGGCGTATGTATTAGCAGCGAATAAAAATACACAGCCAGCCATGTAAGCGTCATAACTGGCTTCATGCGCTCTCGCTGTTGCGTCGTTCGGAACGGCTGAAATAAAATGTAAAATGAAAACATCACGAACCTTCATGACTTCGATTAGTTCACTCTCATTGATGGTACTTATGGTTAGACAAAATTTTAAGGTCGCCAAGAAATGAAAATGGTAAGAAAAGTATTTGTGTAAAAATTATGGTACAGAAAGTTTACGAAATACATGAGTACGGTACTTCATACTTCGAACACTTAGAATATCAGAGAAAAATCTAATAAACACACAGCCAAAATTGTGGACTTTCTTTGGATAGTCGATCCCGCTTCGGATATCAATCTGCTCACGAACTGATTCTCATTTTGAATAAAACAGAAAATTACTTCAAAAACCGCACCCATCAACAAAATTTGTTGAGATAAAAGCTCTATTGAATATTCGTATGTTTTCCTTTTTCTAGGGGGTTGTTATTTATAAATTTAAATGATACTGTACATACGGCATTGAATTTCACAATTTACGACGGTGCAGCATCCATTTCAGAATTAATATGGAAAACTTCCAAGGTATACAGAACGAATCATTTCACACAATAAAACCTTCATGCTTCTCAGTCAAAGGATTCTTGGGAGTCTGGCACCATTCTACGCAATTTTAAATTACCTGCTTATACAACAAAAAACCGGGTTTACTGGACAACTGAAGGCCCAGAGCAGAAAAAATGGGTGTGCACGTCACAGGCGGAAATACATTTTTCAAAAGGTTTTAGAAATTTGGGTGTGCATTACTGTATAATGGATTCAAATGGGAATTTTTGGACCAAGTTCAACAGAAAAATATTTTTAAATGAAAACCATTAAAATTAGTCGAATTCATGTTCAATTCATGTCTAAATTCAAATTTCAAGTTTCATTCTTGAAATATTGTGGCTTTAGAGTCCTTAAAAACGGGGTGCGTGTCTTACTGGAAGGTATAGCATTTTATCAAAATTTACAACTGAAAAACCCGGGCACGCATTTTACTTATCGTAAATTCGATAATTAACTCAGACATAATGCTGGGCGGTTTTAAGTCGATTGAGGCACAGCTATGCATAATTCTCCACAGAAATGAGACGCCAACTATTCATTTACCGATCAAGGGAACATGTTGCTGCCGCTTCAAAGACTCATAAAGAAGTTCCAGACCAGTGTCGTCGAAAATATCCGCCTGCGTTGTTTTCCATAACTTCCTGCCTACGGTGAAAGCAACATACTTGGTGTCTATCACAGACGGAAACATTCGCTGTATATTGCGTTTGTATTCCGAGAAACTCTTCGGCAGTGGTTCGTAAAAACTGGCGTGGAGAAGCACGAGATCATTGAACAAGTTGTGTCCGACCAAAGTTTTCTTGCTTGCCACCAGCTCATCGAAGACGACACTGGCTCCAGCTGCACATGCAAATAAAATATAGCATCAGGTTTCATGGAACGATACGATGCCAACAACTTTTTCTTCAAAAAGCAAACCCTTGTTTAGGTTACAGACCGCGAAAGATCTTAACTTTAGGAATAAAGTTACTGAGGCACATGCGGCTCGCAACATCATAAAAGTGTTTTAATGTTCTTGGGTGTCTCGTCCCAGTTTGCGAGAGTTTCTGTTCTTTCATGGTCCTTAATTACAATACGGCATTCAGAAGCATGGCAGAATAATTGAGGGCTTGTCAAAATGGCGCGACTCAAAAACATCACTCGACAGCCCATGGTTGCTTTAAAAAATAAACAATGCGAAGGAAGTTAAATGTAACATGGAATAGCAAGGATAATACTTCAGGATGGAATTTTCGTAGGTCTTCACTCTTCACATAAAAATGAAAATTTGTGTACTGTTTTTTTTCTTTCAGCCTGGCCGAATACTTCTCATGGAGTCAAATTGTTCCTTCGCACGAAAATGTCGGAACAGGCAATAGCTCAAAATACGAACCAGTGTAACGGATCGCGGCATCTGCCTCGTGACGATCCCAAGAGCCAAGTTCAAGCTCAAGCTTTCGCACTTCCTCGCGATTCGCATAAGAAATGCCCTTCTGAACCCACGAAGAATAATCAAAGCCGTGCCGGACGAGAAACCTCCGACATGATGCTTGAAGACTGATCGACGGATCATGAGCAGTTCCCGGATAATGTCGTGGAAATAGCAGCAAGTTGTAGCACTTCGCGCTGAAAATCATGCGATCAAAGACATTTAAGAAAACGATGTTGAAAAGAGTGGAGGATTTCTGAAAGAATCCCTAGGGCCTCGAATCGAGAAACGCAAAAAAGATTTTGAATCCGTGCGACCCCGAGATGCGGACATAATTAGTGCTTGGACCTTGTTACCTATTTCAGAAAGTCAGCAGGTTGAATCACGTTTTCCGACAGACTTAAAAAAGAACATATTTAATCGGCTCTCCTGTTCATCTAATATTAGAAAAAATTTCCCCAACAGAAAATAACTGTGCAGAATGAAACCGCACCGAATCTGCCTTTTCGGCAGGAAAATAGGCCTATAAAACGAAGTACAAGCAATAGTTTTGCTCTAATATGAATAGATGATGGAAAGATCCATAAAAAGAGCATTACAAAAATTAGCCCGTTTGGGATAAAAATTAGCGTGAACTGACGATAAAATCCATTTTTAATTTTTGCATATATAAATAGCTCACATTTTTGAAGTGACATCAAGATGTTGAGAAAAATTTTACATTTTTTCTAGAAATTTTGGTAGCGCCGCTATATCGAGACATTGTCCAGATGTTTGGGCAGACTGAGTTTAAAGTGTCCATACGTCGAATCGTCTGTATGTCAGGACCCCACTGTATGCTGAACATTTTCATGGATTGATTATTCTATAGAAAAATATCTACTTCCATAGCTTAATGTACATTAATTAATAGCAGTTAGGACTATTCTCGATTATGTACTGACTACCATTTCTTTTTCATACAATTCAGATTTTTCCTTCACTCAATTTTGTTTCTATAAATGATGAAAAAATTGAATCTCAGTAAACAACAGGAAGCCTCCAAAATAGACCCAAAACTTCTAGAAGAAGATTCTAGCCACTAGAAGATTTCAGCAAATTTTTTGCAGAACTCCTTTGCGATAATACCTTCCAAACATTTCAAAATGTCATTACAGTTCATTGAAGAAATGAACGGAAATGGATGCCTACAATACGCAAGGATATCAGAAATTCCAATGCTACAAATAAAATATTGTGGTTTCTGATTAAAAACACGAGTTTACGCAATAAAACGCATCAATCTAATATTCTAAAAATTTCAAAAACAAAAAATAGCTGACCTGAAATTGTACCGATCAGTCATATGGAATAGTGCGACACCCAGTTGGATGATCGCAACATTTTTTAAAGCATGACGAGCTTTTTCATATCGTTCTTCAATCGTGTCGAACAAACTCGGAAGGTTGGCTTTATCACAACGTAAGGCTGTGAATTCCGTATCCACAGCAATAAAAGTCGCTTCTCGAATCGCCAATAAAATTTCAGGAAGCTTCGCTTCAAAATTGTCCAACGTAACAAAACATCTTGATGTTGTCCCGTCGAAGGAAGACATGATCCTGTTATTTCACCTAGAAGAAACAAAGCAAAACTACAATAAGTAACAAGTCTTACGCCATTTGCACTCAACGAAGAGAATTACTCCCTAAATAATATTTTTACGAATTCGCCCAGACAGTCATTTTTTTCTGATGATGACGGAAACGAAAGAAAATCAACAACCACGAAGGTAGATATTTATTTTTCCAACGCAAAAAATAACGACGATGCCTTTTCTCCCCATCACTGCGGATCGGCGGTAAACTTCTGCGATTTTTCGAAAACGAAAGTTCTAGGAAAGTAGTAATACAAACGGCGGCGGAACTCCTAAGCGGAAAAATTAAAACTATAGTGAAGACTCAGCAAAAATGTTACAAAATTTTCTAGCTGATATTCGACCAATCCCATCATAAACATTACAAACTTCTCACCTAAGATTGACATTTTGGACACCGCATCCGGAATTCTCGCGCTGAACACTGATCAAGTTAAAGACAAAAAAATTCTTATCAATTAAAAAAACTGCGGAGTCAATTTAACTTCTGTAAGGACCGTTGATTTCATATCAGCTGTACACTCAAAGTGTTCAAAAAAAATTTCCCAACTTTCTCCCGAAAAAATAAGTTTAGGCTTCATTACTGAACTGTACTTGAATGGGTCAACTCAGCAACCCTGGATTATTCATGCAAAATAATTATCACACAATCCAACGCGAACACGCACAGAAGAAAGTGAAATTGGAAAATTTAAGTCAACCGCAAACTCATGAAGGTCGACAGGAAGAACAGTTTTCCTTGTTTCCCATAAAATACCGAAGAAGGTCACGCCGTCACCGCAGAAGGGTCGAAATAACCACTGAAGGAACACTTTCCGGTTCGTGACATTATTCTTTACGTAATAATACATGGAAAGTTGAACCAATATCGAATCCAGATGTTATCGAATGCTTCCATCGCTATCGAAATCAAAAATTCATCTTCCAATGCATCCGACAGTGAGTACGAGGTCAGGAGTGCATAGACAACCAGCTCTGACGTTGCATAAAGAAAACATTCTGCTGTTTCATAATTTATCAAAATACAGTACTGTACATGTAACGTATAATCCTTCGCTGCTACAAGCACGTATCAAATTTAAATTGAATATTACAAAGAGCAGGACAGTCATGAAAATGGAAGCATTCAACGGCTTAGATTCCTCTAATTCTATTCAAAAATCAACTTCAAACGGGACGATAGAAAATCATAAAATTCCCGAGGCACTCTTCCAACAAATTAAATTTGAATCAAGTTCTTTTTAGGCAACAAAATTATAGAATAGCATTAAAATTTACCTCGTTTCGCAATTTCAAGAAACTGTTGCGCGAAAATTCACCGAGGAATTTCCTCCAGATGTGAAACTATACAGAAGTAAAGTTTCGATTCCATAGAATATTCAAGAACTTTCACCGCAATGAAAAGGGAGCAGTTGAAGCGTGTTTGAATATTTTTCACGGATGAAACATATGCGGAGGTGACTCAAATTCGGTGGTGAATCGCTTACGCTGAGATTTTTCGGATTAGAAAAAAGTTCTGTAATCTTCATATAATTTCACTCTTGAATACAAATTCCACTCTATGCCTTTTCCACTTTCCTATGTTACGGCAAGATATGTTTGAGAGAAACCGGGGAGCCGAGAAAAGTGAGCATCGATTAGTCGAAGATTATAATTACTGGCGACAAAATCTACTTACGCTAATTGAATTCTTCATGTTCAAAAAGGAATTATCGGGGCCCCGAATTATGGTAGGAAAGTTCGTTATATCGTTATAAAATTTATCATAAAGAAGTTAAACTTAAAACTAACATAGAAAAGGCAATCTCTACGCAAATACTGTACATGTTCAGTATTCCTAATAAGGCGTTGCAGATCCGGTTGAAGTTTCCCCTTTCAGAATACAGTACAGTATTTATGCGAATATTGTATGATCAACCACCTAGATTTTTTATTAATAAAAATTAAAATTCCATTAAGAGGCAAATACAGGCACACATTTCCTTTCCTGGCGTTCTGACGGAACATAAACTTCTTCACTAAATTTAGATTTTCGCAGAAGAGAAAAAAGGGGTCACACAACCCGTACTCTTCCCTTTCAATCCATGATTCATACATCTTGAAATGCTAAAAGCTGACCATTTCATCATTATTTTCAACTTCAGGTTAAAAAAAAAGTCTCGAGAAAATACGCGCTCGATCATTTTGTTGGCCGCGAACAGGAATATTTCCTGATGTAGAACCATATTCACGCGAATTGCATAAATATGCGAATATGAAAATCCCCTCGTCTTCGATTTTCCAGTATTATACTGAAAAAACCCAGGGCGCTTACATTCGCGTAAATACGCTACAATAGTCTGCCAGCCCTTTTCATTTTTACCGAACGATCACCTGGAAATCCGTGATTGGTGTGGATTTCCGTGATCGTACGGTAGACACGAGCATAATGGTAAGAACCAAAGGATGAGTGCACTTTTCAGAGTTCCTTTGCTCTCACAATCTCGGCATGATCACGTGCTACAGATACGGCGAATGCGAGTCACAAGCACTTTTCAAAAATCACACTCATGGACGACGCGAAGTTCACGGAGAGAATTCAAGCCTGGAGCCAACAGTTATGCTGGCCGCAATGGCTGGCGTGTTCAGCATTTACTTCTGCACCAACATGTGTAGAGCTCTTTGCTGCCCTTCCAGGCGAAGAAAACGAGATGAACGGAAGTATGTACAGTTCAGTCACTGCATTCAAAAATCTTCCCATTAGATCGTCTTCAACTGAGAGCTTGAAACATCCGATGCGGGTTTTAGGCAGGAAGAATACAGTATTGGCTCTCATCTGATGCTCGCGGATATTTAACGCAACGCAATGCACTTTTTCGAAATTGAATACAGCATCCGAAAGTAAAAAGCCAAGTCTTTTCCTCCCAACACGGACACACATGAGCTGAAGGATGCACAATAAACTTAATTCAGCTAGGAAAAAGTAACAAACAGAAAAGCAAGCATCACCGGTAAGGACGACCAACGGGGGTATTTTCGTCTCACTTGAATTTTCTTCCATGTTTTCTGATATCGTTTGAATTCGGAAGCGAATTGAAACGAATATTTCTTACACAAGGAATGGTTTGTAAAATAATTCGAATGCTTAGCCTCGTGGTTGCCTTTCGTTCGGGGATAATGTCCAGTCAGCTGGGCATGATCATTATCAAACCGTCCAGGTTTACCTTCAGAACACCTAATTATTAGCTCATTAACCCTTACTGCCACGGGATCGGCTTTGTTAAGCGCATTCACACATGAATGCGGGAACATCCGATAAATATTCTAAAAATCCTCAATTCTTATCGGTAAACCGAAAAGATTTTTGGTATCGAAGTCGCGCCGACTTCGACCAAATACAGTACCGTATACAAAAAAGCTAAATCACAGTCTCGCTCAATATTTTTCCGAAAAGAATTTGAATAGAATCACTTCATCATTTCACCGCGCTGGTTCGTAGGTTCTCACGGTACTTCGACGCTTCGAAGAATGAATGCGGCGGAGACGTGACGAAGCATCAATCGGGAAGTGACAGAAAACGCGCAGGGGCTTATCACTCGTGGAAACTCAACGACTACCAGGGAGGAAATAACTTCGAGATTGATAATCGAACTCAAAGTTTAAAATTGATCACGCGTCGCATTTTTTTCTCAATTAAGGATCCGTACCGGGAAAACCACAGCTATCCCTCGTCTCATGGAAATCGCCTCCGGTAATTCTTGTAGAATCATTTTCAGGAAGTTTCGCTGACAAAACTCATGCCTCGGTGAAAATATCCAAACCAAAATGCATCAAACATACTCAAAATGACCTCATTGAATAGTTTCCTCAACAATATTTAAAATCAGACACGAGACCATTTTCGTAAGCTTTCTCACTTATCTATTTGTTGTTCCATCTTACGTAACTCGAAGATGATATAAAAGGCGACTCAGAATCAACATAAGTAACCTTATCATGCAGCGACGATTTTCACGAGCCGAATCGAAGCAGAAGGATGAGGATGTCCACCGAGTCCTCCGGAACTTACACGGAAAATGAAACAACGATGAAAACTGGCTCCTTCCAGCCGCAGTCACCTTCAACGCATAAACTGACACAATCGATCGACAAGCTCACGGATTCTCGTACGTGGAGTCAAAAATGACTTTTTTCACTAGATCTTCTGATTTCGCATTATTGCACCCTCGAGGATTAACTCTTTTTTCTCACAAGGTTCGCAAATGGACACTGATTTCGTCAGAGTTCCTATAGACACCGGAGAACACGGACGCCAGAAATTCCTGATATTCAAAAAAGTAAATTCTTGAACAAAGCAAACAGAAATATACCATCATCGAACATACTTCGAAGTTCTAAAAAGCGAATTCACGTCAGCCAGACCTTAACAACACTGGCACAATCCTTATGACGCATCCGCACGCGCCTCTCACAATCGCTAGGGCGAAGCGACACCACCACAATCTGTTCCTTTATTGAAGTGGGCGGAATTGCACCCAGAAGTACGCGAACATTGGATGGTACACTTCTACGTAAACATTTTTCAGAGCTTTAAATTCGTGATTGGGATGAATTGAGCTTATTAAATGAACTTTAATGATATAAGACTGAAATTGAATTCATTTCGGGCTTTCGGTCGCATATGTACGTATGTTGCGGTGTCTCGTGTAAGTAATTCATGACACCGTTGTTGGGCCAAACTTCGGAAAGTGTAATTGCCGTTCTCCTGATCTAGGTGATTGGTCTGAAGACAGGTGCAGTAGCGATATTATGTACGACGACGATTACGAAACGGCATAGCTTAGTACAGTATTGGCTGTACTGCATAGTATAGTATTACGTACTGTACAGGATTCCGTTCTGAACTGTTGTCTCGAAGCACATGCATGTAAGAACTGTGAACGGGTCGTTCAAGCACATGTCATGTGAATAATTAATCTCGAACGATTTTATGTGTTCCGCGTGAAAACCGAATCTGGACCATGTCTTCAAAGAAAAAAAACAATAAGAATCCTCTGAACCTTAAGCTGCCTGCCCAGCCGGTGGAGACTACCGTAGCTATTCAACCGGAAGCCGAGTGAGTACCCTGACCATCCTCAAATTTAGATCTGAATTAATTCTTCCTCTTTCCTTGAATACCTAAGACGTCCGAGCACTAATTCTGGTGAAACATGCTTCGACAACCTTCTCCGAAAGCTGGAAGAGCTCGATATGGACGATGCTCAACGCAAGCGCATGGAAGTTTTCTTGATACAGAAGAGGAAAGTCGGTGATTTATGCGCGGAAGATTTTGAAAAGCTTGGGGAGCTTGGTGCTGGAAACGGTGGAGTTGTTCTGAAAGTACTTCACAAGCCGAGCAACTTCATCATGGCGAGGAAACTGATCCATTTAGAAATTAAGCCAGCGATACGGAACCAGATCATTCGCGAATTGAAAGTATTACACGAGTGCAACTCCCCACACATCGTGGGATTTTATGGCGCATTTTACAGGTAACTGCCGTATTCTGTTCACCAAGTTCATTTTTGGACGATGTGTCACTAACTTCATTATACTAGATCAGATCGATACTCTCGCTCTTAATACCATGTTTGTCTCATGAGAAAAATGCGGGACCAGGAAGTAACATGGAAACAAACGTCTTTGGATAATTGTTTGTCTCCTTTGCAAGTTCTTTTATTTTCCTGTGCATCGCTGTTTTGGAAATGAAATAAATTTATTTCACTCCAGGAATGCCGCGTGCATAGTGAAGGTGAAAAATTGTATAGTAAGGTTTTACGGTATAGCACTTCCAAAATCCTGGAGTATTTCAGGAATTGAAAGAGATCTACAGGAAATGTGTGCTTTTCACGCCTAAATTGTTACCTGGCTTTTTTCTCTATGTGGTTGTCTTTCAATTTAATTTCAGCGAAGGAGAGATCAGTATTTGCATGGAGTACATGGATGGCGGTTCTTTGGATCTTATCTTGAAACAAGCTGGAAGGATTCCGGAAGATATTCTCGGGAAAATCACCGCTGCAGTTCTCAAAGGATTGCGTTATTTACGCGAGAAGCATCAGATAATTCATCGCGACGTGAAACCTTCAAATATCCTCGTGAACAGCCGTGGTGAAATTAAGATCTGCGACTTCGGAGTTTCTGGGCAGCTGATCGACTCAATGGCGAACTCCTTCGTTGGAACTAGGAGTTACATGTCTCCAGAGAGGCTACAAGGAACACACTATTCGGTGCAAAGCGATATTTGGTCCCTTGGTTTATCTTTAGTTGAAATGGCTCTTGGAATGTATCCCATACCTCCACCTGATTCTGGAAGCTTGAAAGCGATTTTCGGGACCAAGTACACGGATCCCCCGCCTCGTTCTGGTGAGTCCATGTCTTTGTATTGGAGGTTTAACTGTGTGTAATGACGTTTTTCGAAAAAAAAAAAATTTGCAGGTGGCACTGCACCTTCTTCTGTGCCAGATCCTAAGCCCCTTGCCATATTTGAGCTGCTGGATTATATTGTCAATGAACCACCCCCAAGCTTGCCACCAGGCTTATTCTCCGATGAATTCAAGGAAGTTGTGGATATCTGTCTCAAGAAGAATCCTACTGAAAGACCAGATACAAAATCTTTGATGGTAAATTGCATAAATATGCTGATCAGGTTCAGTAATCTTAGATTTTTGCACTTGATTTTTTCAGAATCATCCATGGATAAAAAAATGGGATGCCGCGGACGTTGACATTGCGGGTTGGGTTTGCAAGACAATGGATTTGCATCCTCAAATCCCCGCGAAGAATGGCACTGAGCCATGAGTTATGAGCTTTTTGGAATTCATGAGTTACCTTGGGTGTTCAGTTGTTGCATGCAAAGATGAGCTTTCAATTCCTGCAAGCATTCCCGGTTGTTAACCTTTTCGATGTTCGTTTTTTTTTCATATTGTATTCATGTGGTGAATTTACCTTGCGCAGTGACAATTGTTCTCTTTTTGGAGAAATATCTCGAAATTTTGAGTTACGCAATTTTGCTGAAATATAGTGTAGTTGAACTTTCCCTTTCATGGAAAGTGTTCTCGTTGAATTACAGTACTAAGTGTATTTAGCAGGTAATTCAAAGCTTGGCTATTCAACTCGTTCGGGATGGTTGCCACACAAAGACTATTAAAATATCCCCGGAAAAGTGCCTGAATTCAGGAAGTAATCTATGTTGTACCAAGACATATGCGGTCTTGTTCATCTATCCGGTATACCATGATTCTCAACAATAAGACAATATTTTAAAATGCCGAACACTTCCGAATATTTTTACTGGAGCACATTTTTCTCAAACCCAGGAAATCACAAAATTCCCAAGAAAGATTCGGAGCTCCTCGTACGTCATCATTATCTTGTGGTTTGACGGATTGTACGTCATGTTCTTCGGGGATATGTGTCGTATTGTTCACTTATTTACGAAGACGATGGGACTTCATTCTACGATCATGATGGAAGAAAATTAGGTAGAAAATGGAGCTCAGGTTGTCAAATTAGTGGACTCCCTTCCAGGATCATTTGTTCCCGTTTTCTTAAAGCGGATGCAATGCACTCGTTGGAAACTTCTCACATTTCCCTCAGAATTTGTTCGTCGTAATGACTTCCAAAACCGTAAATCCCAAAAAGCTACACTTGAAGCAAAACAAATTTTTCGTGTCCTGATTATTTAAAAAAATCATAAATTTTCACGCGATAGATTAATTAATCAAACGAATAAATTTTCAGAATGAAGGTTAGCGCTTACACTCCCGTGAACTTCAGAAATAATTTTAGAGGCGCATGTAACACGCTGACAAAGATTCAGCATAAAAAATAGATCATATATTTCGAATTTTCTCGCAAAACATAAGTTTCTTGAACACAACTCTGGGACGCGATTTCGCGCACTGTACCTTCAAGGTACACACACACACAAGAACCTAAATTATCCATGTTCCGGGAAATGAGCCCCAATTTCATCAAGGGGAACAAAGCTGCTGAACTAATTAAATTTGAGCAGTCGTATCCGACGACTCAAATTTTCAAAATCATGTGATATTGAGTTCAGCATTAATCATTAGTATGCGACCATAAGCATTAGTGTGCGACCAGGAGTTGAAAAATGAACTGTTCTCCGAATATTTCCTCACAATAAACGCGATGAGTAATCACGAAGAGCCTCTAGAAAATGCGTTCCACTTCAGGATGGTGCAAACTTAGATGCTTTAATGTTAAACGTCTAGTCATTAAAAAAAATCACTGTTTTTTCTCGTCCGATGAAATTTTAAAAATTGAAATTATTCGAGATAGTATCTCATCCTGGTAATTAACCCGGATAATCAAGGTTCTTCTGTAGCTGTCGCGAAACTGTATTCAAGTACGTAACCGATCGGAAATGTCTGCCAGTGCAACTGCCGTAGAGAGAAGATCTCCCGCTTCGTTGCCATCTGAAAGCTCGGGCAAGGCATATTTCCATGACTTGACGGAAACTTTAACGTCTCTATGCGCTTCCCTAAATGACGAAGAAGATGAAGAGATATTCAGGAATAGTTCAAGAAAAAAAAAATCACAAATGTCATACGCAGATAAAAGAAAATGCCTGTAAGATATGGGAGAAAATTGGTAGTGGAAGAAATAACTCAAGCTGAAAAACAAATCGTACGATTCAAACATTTCAACTGTCGGTTTCACATACTGAAGACGAAAATGGGATTCCATATAAACCCACAAATGACACGAATTTTACAGAAACGATCAATATAAAAAACCCACCATTTAATACCTTAGAAAAAACCCTCTACAGGTGCACTCTCTCTACCGCGATATTCTCCTCATAACGAGATTTTTTTGTAGGGTTCTCTCCCTGTGTTATAGGGATTCACTACGCAGATATTCTTTCTAAACGAACTTTTTTTTGGGCATTTTCTGGAATTAAGTTGTAGAGGGAGTACACCTGTACATTGAAAAAGAAAACAGAAAAGAGTCGGCACAGTTGAAAATGCAACGATACAAACAACACAGGAAAACGTCAGTAAAATACTGTAATAAACTACGAAAAAAATTCAAGAGCTATAGTGATTATGACTGTCAAAACGACCGAAAATTCTAATTTCGTTCTTGCATTGCCGTCCCCACTCGGAATCTCCTCTCACCAGCATTTTCTTAGCCCACGAATGAAAGCAAAGGTGCGATAAAAAATTATGAACTTACTTTATATGGGCCACCAGATCCTTTCTCAGCATGAACTCCAACCCGCAAACCTCACACAGAATTGTAGCACCTGAACTATGCTTATTCATATGCTCACATAGTTTCTCTTTCTTCGTATATTGCCGTCCACAAGTTGCACACGTGAAGAGGGACTTTCCTGCAACGGATGAGCGTTTCATGGTAAGTATATTGTAATTCCCCAGAAAGGGAAAAATAATTATTTCCTCCGATTAAGAATAGGTGAAACGAAATCATGAATACACGGTATTACCTGAATGAGATTTCATGTGGTTCAGCAAATAATCTTTCCTTCGGAATACTTTATCACAGCTTTTGCAAGCGAACTCTTGCACATGGTCAGTTTTGTGAACTGTCTTCTTATGTAATCTTACAGCTCCTTTAGTTCCAAACGACTTCTTGCATATCTGCAACAGAATAATGAGTTTAAATGAACAGCATCATCATTATGCTATAAAATGAGTAGAACACAAGTTTGATGGGATGAGGGGAAACCAATACATGCTCAAACAAAATCTATTTGATGGGCTCCTTGAGAGACCCCAGTCTAACAACGAGGTCCCATGGTGTAATGGTCAGCACTTTGGACTCTGAATCCAACAATCCGAGTTCGAATCTCGGTGGGACCTGAATTTTTTCCATGCGTTTACTTCGCGGGAATGAATTCAACCCGCTGTCACGTAAGTTCAGAGAAAAATTTAGTCCAATACGGATATTGAGAAGCACTTCTGTTCTGCCAGCTTCCTTCCGAACAAAGAAAAATTTGCGTATTTTAATTTGCTTAGGTTATGGTTTCCTTCCCTACATGACAGTCAACAACAGGAGTGAAGTTTACATTCGCGTGAATACTGTACGGCAAATACTCGTGAATTTTTTAAGAATCCTATTCAAACTTACGTCGCAGTCAAAAAGAATTTTCTCTTTGTGAACTTCCTCGCGGTGTTTGATGAGAAAGGAATACTTCTCAAACCCAACTCCACAAGTCGGACAGGAGAAGACGCGTACGGATCTCTCGTGATGCGCTAGCTTGTGCTTCAACAGGGACGACTTCCGCGCGTAAGTCGCCGAGCATTCGTCGCAGAAAAACGCCAATTCCTTCCTTCAAATGAGCGAGTGTGAGACAAAGATAACGGTTAAATTGACATATCGCGTGGACCAACATAATTAGACCGATTTTTGAACCATCTGAACTTTTTTTCAGTTTGGTATGATGGAATACGGCGCCTTCTTAGTAGTCATAGGACGGTTTGATCATAAATTATGTAATTATTATGCTCCTGTTGAAGTTTTGTTAGGTGGAGATTTACCAAATTGTCAGATTATTATTTCATCATACACACACTTAATTAGGAGAAGCAAATCTATACTTGATCGCATAAACGATTGAAGTACAGTAATTCGAATTTTCTTACTTGTGAGCTCTAGCTTTGTGAAGATCCAGTTCCGGCCTAAAATCACGCTGGACCGGGCAAAGCTCGCACTTGAACGGCCCACCTTTGCATTTGGAAAGGTGATAAGCCATGCGAGTGTAGCTACGACATTCCTCGTAGCACAAAGAGCAAAAGAATTTCTTCTTGCCGTCCATCAGGCCAATGTTCCATCCGTAAATACATTTCGGGAGCAGCTTCAACGCATTTTCATCGAACTAAAAATACAAAAAACGAATTCAACCACTGAAAAACGCGGGTTATGACATTTTTTGATGTACATTACAGTATTCGTAGCTCAAAGAATTTCATCAGAACTTACCGCAGAACTTAAGTTGAACTGCGGAGTGAAGACGAAAAAAATATCACAAACGCACTTTGTGTCGAGAAGGAAATTCTCAAAACTTCACGCTTTCATCCGTCTTTCACCTCAGAGTCAGCAATTTTCAGAAAATTCAATAGATATTCTTGTTTTTGTAAGCATATATAACTGAAAGTAGAAGTACTGCATAGTAGAATTAAAAAATTATTCGAAAAAATTTCCATTCCAGATTTTAGAAAAGCTGCAACGATTTCTAAGCAATAGACGCTCAAGAATTAATTAAATCAATTCCAGACGATTCACTTTGTGGGTCAATTAAAATGGACAGTACTTACCAAATCTTTATCAGCGATCAAAACAGGCAATCCATCCTTCTTCTTAAATTCTGCAACGGCGCATTGGTGCACTCGAAATGCGTTGATGGCAGAAAACGCGAAGTTACAGGACAGACAACTGAAAAACGGCTGTTTCTTCAAACCGCTCGATGATATGGCGCAGCGCTGTGATGAAAAAATGACGATGAAATTTCTTTAAAAATCGGAATCGCATTATTAGATATCTTTTGAATGACATACTTGCTCATGCTCGTCAACAGAACGAAGATCTATGAAACTCGTGTTGCAGAAACTGCAAGGGAATGTAGGCGGCGGTTCTTCGTGAGTTTCAACCAAAGCTTCATCATTTCTCCTTTCTTGTCTAAAAAAGAAGAGAAAATAAATTTTTAAAATAATTTTTCTCCTAAGCATTCATACGTTTTCATCAATAGATAAACAACGACTACGAGGGTGGAGGCAGCGTGTCCCAAAGTTAATGCGGGAAGACAAATTCGCATGATTGAATTCCCCCTTTTTTTTTATCTCAAAGACGCATTTGGAAATATGTACGTGGTGTTGAGGGTCATTTTTCAATTTTAATCTGTTTCTGCGTCACTCCTGTGTGCCCATAAGTATAGTTGAAAAGCACAAAAGGGACGATTAAGTTCCACAATATAAATTAATTTCATTTCATCGATTCAATTTCATACCTTTCCGAAGGGGTCACGTGAGAATTGATGTTATTGTAATTTGTAATAGAGAGTTGTTGGAGTACTTAGTAGAATACGACATTCATTTCTACAAACGACTTATTTCATTTCCTTTTGTCGTATTCAATTCAAGGATAAAAAAAAAACCGTATTACATTCGGTCCCAACATTACGAACAGAAGACGCTGACTTCTCCCATCAACCGGAACGTAATTGAATCCGGAAGTCTAAACTCTCATTATGTAAGGGCTGTAATGCAGCAATAACGATGCGAAATTTATTTTCAAACAGGGATAAAAGTATTGTTTACGAAGTCTAAACTATGAAGGATCAACTGTTGTACCAACTTTTCAGATGATGAGTCCTCGATTTCCACCAAGGTTTGCGCTTGGACATCCACCTCCACGATTTCCTCCTTAACTACACAAGCACCTTTCGCAGGAATGGAATTTTCTTCCTCGCTGCTATGCTTTTCAGCAGCATCTTCCACGGCGGGTTCTTCGTCATTTTTTTGCACGCAATGCCCGCTAGTACCTGCAGCTTGGCCGTCAAGATCATCTGTCCCATGAACGGAATCACAATGGTTTTCTAAAGCACGCACAGACAAAAACTTTTGACCACACTTGTCACATTTGGCTCCCGGGACGAGTTTCGTCACGTTCTTATGCTCTGTGCGCAAATGAGCATTGTACAAAACAAGGAGACTGAAATTCATTCCGCAATGAGAACACGTGAACGCTGAGCTGCTGCCATCGGAGTTCGGCTCCGTTTTCGGTTGCAGTTTCTTCTTCAAACGGCGTTTGAATTTGGCGTCCTTGGAGAATGAACCCAATCGCTTTTTGAGGATTTTCCTCGCCGCGGGTTTCGCTGAAATCTCGTCCATTAATTGCGGTTCGGATTTTAAAGGAATGTTTGAAACGGGTTCTTCGGGAAGCAATGATTGTTGCTCCGGTACATCGCATTCCAAAGTCGTCACTTCTTGGCGTTCCAGTAACTCTGCTTCTACGGTCTAAGCAAGAAATCGCCAGGTTTAAAAAATTCAAAAAACCGATATTCTATATTCTTCGCGACGTTTTACGAGTGAAAAACCCACAAAAATAGTAGACTGGTTTTCGAACATTAATATTTCTACAACACTTGAAACTAACGAACAGAAATTCAGGTTTATCCATCCTCATCAAAAATATATCGGATGCAAATCCCGAATTGATGGGACCATTCCTACCATCGAGGAACAATACACAGTACATACGGTATGAACAACAATAAGCAAAAACTTAATCCTCTTCGAGATTAAATTCTGTCAATTATCTTAGCTTCGATCAACAATCTAGGCTCTAATTAAAAATGAATTTTCATGGTAAAATACGGTTTCCCATGATAAATGGAGCGGAGATACAGACTTGTAATTACGGTAATTTTTTCTTCGAATATTCAATATAAAGAACCCACGAATTCTTGTTGGATGGCATGAGATGCTCCGACACCTCACTCGGTATCACAAGTTTGTTTTAAGAATGATCCAAATTCTAGGGTTTCAAGAAACTAGTGATCAATATCTCGCGACAAAGAAAGATGAAGGGAGCTATTTTAAAATAATAATTCTTAGCGAATGATCATGGTGGTCCAATAAAGGCATCAAGGCCGGATTAGGCATAATTCAAAAGATAATTCCATGTCGGTCAACTTGAATTCACAGATACAGTATTGCCTAGCACTGAAAATATCCCTCTTATCGAAAAGCATTGTACAGTATTGTACTTCTTGTTTCACGATGTCCTGCTGAAACTCGCAAGATCAGAATAAAGGAATTTACACTGGATTACTCACCGGTATGACAATGGCCGCAGTACAGGAATCAATGGATCCAACGAGATTTTGAATAGCGAATCGAAAATCCGGCTTGGCGAACAAAGGACTTCCATCAGGCAGCGTATTAAACCACACTTCCACTCGATACGTTCTCACAATGCCGACATCTTCCAGTTTACCCAAAAATACGCCAAACTTTTTCGTCACATCCTCCAAATCCCGAAGCTCCATAATTCTCACAAAATCTGGATTGAATCACGAATGAGAAATCATCAATCACCAGCACTTCGTTCATTACCAAGCATTCATAAATACTGGAGTCTATAAGCAGACTTCAATTTCGATGGCAGCGAAGAAGGTGAACATTCGTTGCACATCGGAAAAGGAACCTGTATGCTCGAAAGTCGTGCAACTTCGTTTTGAAATGCAGTAAATTCTGAAAATTTACCAAGATGAAGAGTGCGAAGTATACTTCATCTAAATATCCAAGAACCGATTAAAATAATCATTACATACATCATCTTTTTTCAATTGTGACAAGCGTTTTGTATGCTCGAGGACGTCAGTGGGGCTTAATTTAAAATATCTGTCAATCCCAATGCATTCAGCTCACATGAAAAAATAAAATATTTTGCGCACATGCTCTTGCATGATATTTAGCAAAAGACGGCAAGACATTTTTCGGTCTTCCTCTTCTCCATATGTGACGGGACAATTTGTATATACTGTACTGTACTGTATTTTTGTCGACCAAGAATGTATTGACGAATTATATTTGAAAATTTGTATCCCCTTAATTGATAACAAGTTTCAATGACTCAAAATATATCGACTAAAACTAGTACCAAAAAGAGGTGAACTTTCTCCAGAACAAGGTTCAAAACTCCGCTTCATGAAAACAATTTTCAGTCGGCACTTCTGAATAATTCCGCTCAACCACAAGGAATTGGAATTTCTTTAACGTCACTATCTGGGGAGAAGGAAATCAAGATCACAAGAGAAGGAAAATCAACGATCCTCAGAGTAGAAGAAAAGAACATTTTTGAGGGCGGGAATGATGAACATTTACACAAAAATAGTCGCATCGTTTCCTCAGCAGACAGGTACTTCATACAAAGCACTCGGAAATGAGAACACAGAACTTTGGCAGAATTAACCATGTACTTCATAATGAACATACCGTGACAATGCGCAAGAAAGGGAATGAACTATGCTGCAAACGTCGCTTTCAGACGTTCATTCAGGTTCCGGTTCTTCCAGTCCAGACTGATGTCATCCAAGTGGTCGTCAAAATCCGTCAGAGTCTTATGAACACCGTCCTGCATCAACACTCTCAACCCGGAAACGAAATCTGCCAAATCCAAGTCCAGCAAGCCATAGGATTTCGCACTTTTCCACTTATCCCCCGGCGGACACGTGTACACGTACACCATATTTTTGAACTCCGTGGGCTCGAACAAGGCTCGTACATCGGGAAACATCACAAACGTACCGGGATAATGCTCAGATATTCGTTCCGTGATACAGTTGGCTCTAAAGCCAGGTTTTTTAAGGTTGCCAGGAGTGTCTTCTACTTCGTAGTAACCCGCGATTTGGAGATCGTTGGCTTTGCAGTAGGCGTCGATTTGGCACAATGCTATTTCAAGCATGGGGGTTAATTCCAGTTGACTGTGGAAAAACGGGATCGCGTCCTTGACTAGAAGACCGTCTTCGGTTTCAGACGCAAGCAGGACCCCGTTTAGGGGGTGATTCGGGTACTTGGCGGCATGAAGGTACGTTTTGGCAACGGCTGCCGGAAGAAAGTTCAAATTTCCCGACATACCTCCTTCAGAAAAAAGAAACGAACATAATTTAGCACCATACATTTTTCATTACGCGAACAGAAATACTGTGAAGGGTACATTTCAAGAAAAATTAATTTTCAAGGAATTTTCACATTTTTTGCCGATGCACCGAACGTGCTGAAACACGCACTCGACTTTCTCTAACAAATTTTTCGGAATTTAATCACAGAATTCGGAGAACTCATGCTGAAAAATTTGGCACAGGCGAAAGAGAATTGCAAAATTTTAAATCAAACTGCTTTTAAATGCTTTTCGGCTGAACCACGAGCGATTATCTAGCCATGACTCCAAAGAGCTGCACGAATCAAAAGCCAGGTAAACTCCAATCATGTTTTTCAGGCAATGGTTTCCTCACCAAGTGTGACCAATTTCAAGACGTTCGGTGCAATTAAATCAGCTTTGATCGTATGTTCAGACGAAGTACAGTATTTCTCCAAGTTCTTTTTCATTTAATTAAGGATAACAACTTGAATACAACATGCAATTCCGCAAACCTTAAAATTTGACGCGTAAAACATTTTGTAATGTTTGCGAACTAGTTGTACTAGGAGCGATCCACAAACATCAGAAACCGAGGATACTTTGAAGAAGAGAATCAACTGATTCTTAAAAATGAGAATTCACTACAATGAAAATTACAGCGTTAAGTTGGTCTAATTGTGCGATTCATAGACGTCAGTCGCAGAAAATAAGTGAATGATCGAAAAAAAAAAGTGAAGCTAACACTACCATTGCAGCCTTAATAATTCGAAGAAAAAAATTGAAATTCATAAACATAAACAAGGACCTGAACTCACCTTATGCCACGAAAAATAAAAACCCGAGGTTTCACTCAAAACAGTACGGAAATTGATTTTCACGCTAATATCTGCAAAAGATCGAATACAGTACTGTATACATAAACAGGTCTTCGCAATCGCTGTCAAAAAGCGACACAAGATTATTTCAACGTTTGAATTTTTCATTTCCCAACATTATTGCGCAATTTTTTTCCCAGAGAGAGACAGACAGAGGAACGACAGAATTTCCAAATTTCCTAGAGATTGTCAACTCCTACCCGAACCGATTAAAGATTTAATTGTACGTTTCCGCGAACGATTTCTGAAAATTTCCAGAAATCATGAATGATCAGGCCGCACTCCTTAAAATCCTACCCCAATAACCAATCGCCCACCGAATCTATTTCCTCACAGGCTGAACAACTTCCAGATGCCAACAATTTATAAATATCTTCTCCGGTAAAAATGAAAAAATATTCTAAATGCCCTCACACACGACAACCACATCATCACAGATACTTCGCTTTCATACCAGGGAAATACACAAGCCTTCAGAACAAAATGCAGCACATAAAACTTTGTTACGACTATCCATGAGCGTCGTTTTGATTCGCATTCTTTGCTTCTCGTCCTTGGGTACGCTCAAGGATCAAAGGCACGTCTTCTGCAATAGGATTCAAGCGCACAGAAGCAAACATGCAACACACACCTTTATGAGAAAACTTGATTATTTTCATCTAAACACCCGAGCTTTCTATCGTACTAGACATCGGAAGAAATTTGCTGCTGGCAACACACAATCCAGGTTCGACTGAAATTTAAATGTTTTCAATTGACGAATGCATAAAAAAAAAACCTGAATGAGTTTCATGTTCTATCAATATTAATCATTCAAACCTGAGTCTTCTTTCACATTATATTTTGCAGTCATTCCAGGAAAAAAACCGCTAATGAGATAAGACGCATAAAAATCTATTACATGAGCTTAAGGAAGTGATACTAAAATTACAGAAACTGGTACTACAGTATTAAACGATGAGGACTCAAATAATCGACATTCCAGCAAATTGCGGCATTGAAATGAGTATAGATTGAATTTTTCAAACACAGAACTTGGGATTTTAGGGAAAAAAATTTCCGAAAATGATAATGTACTGCATTGATCAAACATTTTACAATCAAACATTTTCACCTTAACTTGAATTATAAGAAAATGGTTCAACAGGGCACCCTCACGTCTCGTTTTTTTTACTCTGATACTCATTTTTCTGGACTTACGTAGCTTTCTCATAAATTCACATTTTCTACAAGATCACAATACATACTGCAAACAGCATGAAAAATTCTGTCGGGTGTTTAAATGAAAAAAGCAAGTACTTGTCCTTTAAATTCCCAAAAACTCTTGACGAGAAATCGTAAAGTTGACTCAGCAACAACTGACATCGACAGATATTCCCCAAATAATATAAAACTCTTCAACACGGTCACATACTCAGTTAAATAAAAAGTAGACCTTCGCAAAAGCTTAAAGCGTTGTCGTCGTCACAGGGCTTACTCCATGCACAAGAACTGTGGGTGCAAGACCATCGGTAAGCTTGGAGATATTTTCCACATAACTTTTAGCCAATTCTCTTTCTGCCGGCGGTTCGGGCAAGTAAAGGAATGTAACCGCAGTGTTCCTTGATCTGGCCGAGATCAACGCTCTAACCCTGTAAACAAAAGATTAACCAATCAAAAATTTTCCACCACGTAAAAAAAAAAGGAAGCAGCAATTTTTACATAATTGGCTACTCCGTAGAGACTGAGAGGCGCCGCAATTTTTCATCCCATAAACTTAGGAAATCTGCTGGCCGATTCAAAATCACCTATCTACGATGAACGAAAATTCTGAATAATCATGATAAGCACTGTTTTCATCGACATTCCCCCGAATCCTTCAGGAATTCTGAAACAATCGGAAAATGTTCTTCTCTTCAGAATTTTTAAATAACTCACGAATTAAAATAGGCATCGTCAAGAAATGCCTGTCGATCTTCGTTTTCGCCTTCCACGTGGTCAAAGAATCCAGGGAATTCTTCGCAGGGCACGCAAACTATCGTCGCTTTAATTCGCAAAACGTGCAGCATCATACTCAGGTAGCTCTTTATCGGATCCACGTCTTCCGACTTCAGCGAGGCCACGCAGAGAAAAACTCGAACGTCAGTGAACTTCTTCCATGCCGCAGTCTAATGACGAAAAATTTAATTTCAACTGATGGATAAAAAACTTGACGGCACATTCGATATCGAAAGCAGCACATTTTTCACATTATCTAACCCGTAAACTCCGAGACGTGCCGCAATTTTTCATCCCACAAAACAAAATAGGTGCTGGCAAATTCAAAATGTATCATTTACCAAGAATGTCAAGTCCACCTTCTTATGATAAGCACAGCTTTTTCGGGTATTCCCTTGAATTATATAGAAAGTCTGCAACAATCGGAAAGTACTCTTCTCTTCAAACTTAAAATAAGCAAACTAAAGCTACTGAGAATTACTCACTAAACTTGACTCAATTGCACATACACTGAATAGCGTAGGACACACTGCTGCTCAAACTTCACACAAAGCGTATGAATATTTAAAATGGATTTCATCTTCATGCAACAGAAAAGAAATTCAACCGCCATAGAGGGGTCTTGGTTAATGAATGCCCTGGCTTACAAACTTTTTGTTCAACAAAATTTTGGTTTTGGACTCAGCTGCCTTGGCTAACAAACCCTGACTTGGTTTACAAACCTTGCTTAGTTTATAACTGAGTTTTCCGAATGGGTAAACTTTTTTTTATGAAAAGCCTGTGATTTCCTGACCTACACAATTTATGTTTTTGATGCATTGATCGAAACTGTTCCACTCGGAAGTTCTGAATTATACAAACGAAAAGAAGCTTTAAATTTCAAACTTCTGATTTTCCAAAAAGTTTTCATTTGGGCCAGATAATTACTGTACAGTACAGTATTTTAGAGAGTGTACATTTCAAAGTTGGCTTCAAGTTCAACTCCATACGCTTCAAAAATAAGGACAATACTGTACAGTAGTGTGAACATAAATATTATAAAAATTGAACTTTCGCAAATGTAAAATTTGCGAAAATTTTAAGACACTAGCAAAATTGAAATGCAAAAGGTGGATAGACGGTTTTTACAAACTTGCAAATTTTAAAAAATCTGAAAAGGACGGAGGGAGAAATGTTACCATGTTTAAAATAGTAGCCAACTGCAATGTGAACAAAGACGTTGTGCTGTTCAAATCTTTCACCGACGGCTGAAGAAAATTCAGGGGCCAAACGTCGATGTGCCACGTAGTTCTTGACCTGAAACACAAGATCGGAAAATGAAGCGAAGCTTTGAAGAAATTGCACTTTCTGCACCGCATTTTTTCTTGGCTGGAACTAACTTCCTGATTGTTTCTCGATCAAGTTTTGCAAAATGACGACAGACGCAAAGGTTCTTCTGAAACTTCACAATGATATCCCGCATAGTTGCTACATATTCTTCCACCGGTAGCTGTTTTGCATTGGGATCCGAGCGCAGGGGAAACTTTCGCTCGACTCTCTCCACGGATGCTTCAAACTTCGCTGTATGAAAAATTGTCCCTTCACTGGTAAAAAAAAAAAAGAAGCAAATATTCAATTTATTTTCCAAGAAAATTACGACTTTTCATTTGTGACGAACCGAGCGAAAAAATCTTGAGGCATCTCGTCGTCAAAAAACCCCAGCAGAATCGTATTGGGTTTCATGGCCCCTAACCCGGAAATTCGAACCAAGTGATGCATTCCAACTCTCACGGACGGCGCCAGAGTCAATTCAATAAAAGCTTTCACCTGGAAATGAGCATAGGGAATGTCAGTCATTCCAAAATAACAATCCAGGATAATCAGGATCGAACTAACCCGTTTATTGCTTTCTCCGAATTTTCAAGAAATCAATACACAAGAGACCACTTTTGCTCTCAAAAATATGTATCAGGTGTCGTCTGAATCAATAACCTTTCCTAGATGAGCCGAATGACTAAGCCTGACCTTTTCTAAAGTAGCATAAATTAACTCTATTCAACGTATAACTCAGAACACCTTGACCCATATAAAAATTTTTTTTAATGTAGGCGACATCTCTGAGGCGGCAACGAAAATCGTGAAGTCGAGCTCTTCGATTATCAGAATCGGCAATTATTTTATCCACATTTAACAAGATTTGATGCATCATTGAAGAAAATGAAATAACCAACTTTTAGATGATCCACCAGAGAGAGCCAAGCTGAATATTCTTCAGACGTCGGATCAGAGTCCTCCACGTCCAAATCCCCAACTTTCACGTGACCAACAACGTAAAGCCCACCTTGAACAAGAAAATCATTTTAAAATGCACTAAACTTATATGCACCACAGAGACCAGCTAACTTTTTTTCAAGTCATTGGCGAATAAGATCAGCGGACAAGCAGCACGTGGATTCGACACCATCAACAGCATTTGCGGTCGCCAAAATTTAACGTGAGCTTTCCTGGGATCCAAAAGCAGCAAGTATTTTCTGACCTAGAACAGTGCGCCAGTCAAAAAACGATGGAACAGCCTGGCGAAAGATTCGACGCTCACTTGATGGAATATAAGAGCCTGTGAAATCGATCCCCAGTTGAATGGAGGAGACCGGAGATGCAATGCGATAATAAGCAGCAAGCACAGGCAAATGGAAACGGCTGCGTATAATGGACTGATTACGAACATCATCACAACCGTTCCGATCAATCCCAGGAATGCTGTGTGCCACGAGAAAAACTGGAAGTTTGGTCTGCAAAAACCATGCACTCAAGTTCAGCATGTAAAGAAAAATTAACTCGCAAAAATCGAAAAAAATATTGAATATGCTCGAAGCGGTGTTTCATCCAACAGCTCGACTCGCCCAGTGGAAAATATTATTTCAGTTAAGCAGTAGTTTACTTAGCGATTCCGGACAATGATTGGCCATATCTTCAATTTTAACCCCTCGCAGAATAAAAATCGTAATCATTCCTCTAAAGTCTAAACCAAAATTCATAAACCTTTTCGTTCAAGGGAGCCCTAAATAGTAAATATACTCGAAATTTTGTGAAAAAAGCTCCTTAGACCTACCCCATGTATTCCGAACTAGGATTTGGGCTTCAAATGATAAAATTGTTTACATGGTCTTCATACCTTGAATCAAGGACATACAAGATCTTGTCCGATTTCAACAGACCCTCCGCAAAATATTCCCGATGATCTCGAATTCAAAAATACAACAAACCTGAAATTTGGAGCAGAGGCGAGTTCCAAACTCAGACAGGCCAAATTTGTCGCACAATAGGAAAGCAGAAAGAAAACTGAAGTGATCTGGGCAATCAAGTTCAACGACCCGATCAGTAAGATTATTTGCACAAAAAACCATGACATGATCACGGCTGCAATCGGGTTTCCTCCTGAAGTGGTGCCTTTGACGACTGGAGATAAAACCGGACCTAGAACATACACAAGCTAACGTTTCAGAATTGTTATGTTCAAAAAACCTCTTCCAGTTTCTTCTTACATCTTATTTTAAAACTGTTTATTTTAATACTGTACATTTAAAATTACTTTCCATCTTCTGCTCCATGAAATTCCGAAATAAAAATCGAAATGATGATGAAATGCAGAAAATAAAGACGTCTCTATCCCGGATACAATTCATTTCGTCTACTATATTCTATAAAATAAGAGGCCCGACTGATGGAAACTTTTTTTCAACCCCGCGTATTCCTCCCCGAGTCTTCTTCAAACGGAATAAACTTTGAAAACTTGACTTCAGCATTGTAAAAAAGCTCACCGAATAGCTTGTCTTTCGCCAAAGCCTCTAAAACGCGGCTTGCACCGATCAGGTTCGACAAACTAGCCGACAGCGTCGCCACAATGACCCCGACAGTGATGAATCCTGCCCACAGGTTCACGTTCATCATATATATGTAATTATTTTGGAGCAAAAATGTAGGACACGTAGCCGCAGTTCCGAAAGACAGTAGGATGTAGATCAACAATGTGAAGCCCACAGCACCAATTGTTCCTCTCGGGATACTGCGACCGGGGTCTTTCAAATCACCTAAAAAAAGTAATGAATCCATGATTATTTTCCTGGGTCGACAGCAGAAAGCTTTTATCACGATACCAAAATGGTGGTATTCCATCCAAGGCCCGACCTTGCTGAAATGTAATGTCGGGCAGGTGTTGAATGAATCACCATCCACCAAAAATATACTTAACTCAACCGAATTTCATTAAAAACGAGCAACAAAAAAACAATTGCTACATGAAAAATTGAAAAAAAAAATAATAATACAGGTGGACACTAGTTGATACAAAATTCAAGGGGCCAGAAGAAAGGAGTAGTAGAGGGAAACCCTATAATTTGAGGAGAGAACCCTCTGGGACCAAAATCAAACCGTTATACGGAGAAAATCGCTGTAGACAAGATAGTCGTACAGAGAGTCCACATGTATTACAATAATAGAATAATTCATAAAAAAATAATGGGTAATTTTTTTCCGATCACTACACACCGGAAAGAAGAGCGACAAGCTTTACATAGTAGCAATGCATCAGGAAAGAGAATCATGAGGTCGGAGACTTCATTTTCTTTGAAAAATTTAAAATAAAACAAAACAGAAGGAACAGAATTTTCTCAAATGTTGTCAAATTCGCAGCCAAGATCTCAAGACTTCAATTTGAAATTGTACAAGGGATTAAAAAGAAACTCACCAGACATATTTGCGCCGGCCATGATCCCGGTGACACCGGAAAATAAAACCCCAAAAACTCCGGAGAAATCAATTTGAGGCCAGCTAGCGATAGTGTAATCCAATGAGTATTGCGGAAAGAGGTTTCCGTAGAAAGTATCCCAAGAAAACCCACTGTAATTGGCAACTGTGATGTTCTTCTCAATCGCCCACGTGTTAGCTTCTGGTAAGGTCACCTGTAAACGGAGTTTTTTATATTAGCACATTTTTCTTGATGTTCAGAAGTTCGGGAAAATTCAGAGGCGTCAGTCAATGAACAGTAAATTATAAGAAAGCATGGATCAAATAAGATATTTCAAGAACAAAAATCTGCAAAAGTTTGACTATCGCGATTTGCTATTCCGTAAATTTTAACCTTCGATTTTCACCAGGCTTTCCCTCTGAACGAATATTTTTTTTGTGCTAAAACTTGATCGCGTGAAATATGCTAAATTGTGGGTCAATTTTCCGCACCTTTTTCCACTTTCGATGATTTTTTCAATTCGTGACTTTTATCTTCGGAGCACCTCCTTGCAGTTGTGATAATGTTATCATTTATGTACAGTAGTTGCTCTTTTCTGTCGTTGCTCGTTTGATGTTGGCTCAATATTGTACTCGCTCTTTTGAGACTCGCTTCTTCATGATTTTTTTTTTGCTACACTACACAACCAAATGCAGGTTTCATTTCCTTCGTTTTCTAGCCCTGATACTCACAGTCAGAGGATGCTGTGCAATCATGGAAACGAACACAGAGCCCAAACAGATCAAGAGGACGCCGAAAATGACGATAGCCGTCCTGGCGAACATGGAAGCCCCGATCAGACAGACGACAAGATTAAATACGTTCACGCACGTCCCGTACAGAAACTCCATCCATCTTCCAGACGGTATTCCTCCATCAATTATGTAGCCTTGAAAAAAACCACATGAATGGTAATTACTTTCAGTCCCGAACAGTCAATAAAAATATATTCTGCCCGGAATCCATCCGACGATCAACTACGAAGAAACAACATCAAATCTACGCAGTCCCTCTAAGGAATACATATTGCAAGCAACTACACACAGACACACACACACAAATAGGGAACACGAAAACTAACCTCCAGTGCCGAAGTTTGAGATCAAGCCCTCACGGCAACCAACGATGTACAGACCAGACGAGAAGACATTCGCTATAAAGAACAGTAGCCCAATGCTGCCCCCAAACTCCGGGCCCATGACACGACTGATCATAACTACAAGTTCCCACAGGCAGGTTTCCAGTCAAGCAAAATACGTTCCATCGCTTCGGGGGAAAAATATAAACGTAGCACCCAACGAAAGATGATAGGTTCGGGTTGAAGTTTAATTATGAGGTTCCAATGTTCAGAATCAGGTATCGAACGAATGGCAGTCTAAGGATCACAGTAATAAGTAAAACATATAGAAAAGCATGTTCACAAATCGGAGGAATCAACCCATGAACCCTGAGCAATAAATGACAGTGGATTCATGAAAAAGCTTAATTACTATTGAACGAATGAGCGGCTTTTTCTGGTCAGCTACGCAATTCTGCAGATCGAGTGATCAATTGTAAATACTCTAAAAGTAACTTTTTCAACTTCTTGCTTGAATCTCGGAACCTTTCTCCATGGTCAGTACAATTTCTCCATGGTTGTTAAGTACAAGAAGTATACAACTTCTACGGGCATCACAATTTTCAACGCTATGCTTCAAGCAAGTTAATTCAGATGATCAATAATTTCAAAAGATTATGGAGCCGATTTCCTTAGAGGCCACAAAGCATTTCAGAAAATGGATACAAATCCGCTCAAATGATTTCCTGGAATGATATTGCTTGCGAATTACTCAAAGGCTGGAAGTCGGTAAGTTTTGAAAAATGAAAATAAAAATCGGCAGGTTTTGCACACCTTGGTCCTTCGATCAAAATACACATAACTGGAAAAATGTGCTCAGATTGGTCGAGTGTGCTTAGAGGAGAAAAATCCTTCAAAATTAATTCCTTGTAATTGAAAATTATCCTTCTCAAGTTTTCAATCACACTGCGAAAGGAAATGAGACACGCTTTGTAGCAATCATTAAATCAAAATAATGGGAAAACAAGTAGTGTCAAGAACAATCTTTCTTGCTACGATTTGAAAATTACTCCCAATTTCCGAAAACACTGACATTAATGCTCAAATTATTTGAAGGTCGACTTTTTTTTACTGGAATGGAAGAAGGTTGACACAGAAAAACACGAACTAAAATGTTATGCCACAAAGCTCCCAGCAAAGATACTCGATGCATCGCAGAAAGGATACGTGCGCCTAACCTCCTTCGCCGAAGTTCGACACGAGTCCTTCGACAGTTCCAGTGGCGTAAAGCGTCGACGAGAAAACATTTGCCACGAAGAACATTGTCCCGACGCTCCCGCCGAACTCGGGACCTAGAGTTCTGCTAATCATGACTGCAACCAGGAATTTCTAAGTGCTCAGGAAACAGTTTGAACTCCAAATCCGCGCTTACTTAACAATACGGAGGTACTCCAGATAATGGACGCCTCACAAAATAGATTGAAGCACGTATTCTCATTATAAACTCAGACGGTAGCATAATTTTTGGCTCAGGATCATTCACCGCATGAAAATTTAGGGCCCAAAAAACAAGTTTACTTGATCGGGCAAGTCTCGCTATATAATTTTTTTTTAGCAAACATACGCGTTCTTCCTAGCAAACAAACTTGTTTTGAGCATTCTTCGTCTTATATTTCAGCGTTTTTGCTCATGTCTGAACGGATTCAGTAGTTTATTAAAATATTTATGAAGAAAATGTCTAAGGTATCTGTGTCGGATCAGCCACTCTATTCAGCTTAATATTACACACAACAAAATGTTTCGATCATGGACTGCCAAATCTTCTGACTGATTCATCATTGTGTGGAAAAATCAACTTAATCTTCGGGAAATTTCAGCCAATGTAAAGTTAGTGAGCAGGACGTCGGCAACGATATTTAACCCAGGATGATTTTGGAAAAGGATACAATATGCTCCTCCTCCTTCAACAGCACCATTTGTGGAAATGGCACAGATTGATAATACTGTGAATAGCAGGATTCCATACGCCAGTACGAATTGCAGTAATGCTTCCAACAAACCAGCATTCCCTACAACGTATCCTAAAATATAAAGAAGACAGGTCGTGAATCAAAACGCATTATTGAATGGAATTTCAACACATAGTCTCAGACTTGAAACTGACTCGTACACTTCCAAGACTCTTGAAATTTAGCCTAATCTAATTTACATCTATTCCAAACAAAAGGAATGCCTCATTGAAAGGTATTGGAATGCGAGAAATTTTCTCTTAAAAATAGAAAAAGTATTTGAAGCCGAGTTTTCTACATACTGCATAAAAGAATTGGGCCACTCTCGAAACTACCTGAACAAATGAATGATAAGGTTTACACGGGTTGGTTCAAAAGTTTTTCCACTTCTTTTTTCGCGATTCGAGATGGACGGGGGTTCAATTTCAAAATACTGTAGTTCAATTCGTCCCTGAATTCTTTCCCAGTTTCGCTCAACACGATTCAAACACAGGGACGATAAAAGAAAATAAATTTTTGAAAAGCTAAAAAAGCTTCTCATAAGAATTCAAAAGCTGAAAGTGAACCTTTTCCAATTTTGGTTCAATTCAGAAGGCCTCACTCATTTTTCAAGGTACATAACCGGTAGCATTTTGATCCATTCTTTAGGGCATTTAAAAGGGATGTTTCAAAAAGAGTACAGCACGGCATTTCATCTTTCATTGAAAATCTTGGGATGCCACAATTTATGAGCCAGAACCTTCAAAACATTGGGATCAACTCCAAGAATTAAATTAATCGTGTTCCTAATCTAAGGATTTTTCATCCCTTCCATCTTTGATTCGGGCAATTTTCTTAGACCGAAGACAAATCATGAAACACAAAAAAGTGGATGCTTGACCTAATTTTCTCAAAATGGTGGATTACACTTCTGATAACTCTAAGATTCCACCGGAGAGCAAAATTGAAAAATCGTAATCGTTTTTTTGGAATTATCAAACACTATTCTTTATAAATTACGTTCATCTAAAAAAAATAAAGAGGACTCAAAATGGAAGGGAAAAAGATGGGAAAACTATGTGTTTACCCCAAAGCGAAATTTGAGAACTCGAAATCCCTGCTTACCGACACGCAAGAACAACAAGGCGCTGAACTGCGACAACGCAACAGGGACAAAAACACCCGCAAAAGTCCCGAGCCTCGATGCATCATTTGCGTTATTCGTCTCACTGAAACCGTTGCCTTCAGTTGATCCAAGAAGAGACGTTCCACCACTAAAGCTTCCATTGTCGCCTGTGCTACATTCAGACACGGGAGAAGTAGGGTTGCGACCCAACAGGCTCCGAAACAGTCTTCGATGGGCCCCAGGAAGCAATGGAGACTTCTCGTGTCTCTTTCTCGTTAGGCCTGGGAGTTGGCCAGCGCCTGTTGAATCAGACTCTGGTTCCAAGGGTACGACTGTGTCAGTAGGAGCTGAGGCCATTCTTCTAAGACGCGCAAAAAAGAAACGCTCTCGACATTCACTGACACTTGAACCCTGGAACGATTCTCGACAGTTATCTTGATTTCACGTACGCCAGAAACCCCTCTCATACGTCGCGATTCTCGTCATTCGTAAGATGTATGGTGCAAAGCGGTAAAATAAAAATCACCAGTTCAAGACGTTCCTGAAAAAATATGGAAAAAATGAGAATACAGTAATGGAAAAATTCCATCGAACACGCTCAAACGAGTTCCACGCATGAAAAAAAAAAATCACCAAGAATATCCCCTCGATCAGAGGTGTTCGTAGATCGCGGAAAATCACATCGGTTGCAGGAGAGATATTTGAGACCAACATTATCAAAAGCAAAATTTGTGGTTTTTTGCAAGTAATTCAGAAATCTCAATTGCGCAAATCTGGATAAACAAAAGAAATTTGTTTCTGAAAAAACATATATAATGCATCAATCACTCAAGTTTTCAGAGCAGCGGTGAAATTCTTCAGAGATCCCATGATGGTACTTCCAAGGGACTCATCCTGTCAAAAAAAAAAAAAAAGCAATGCATAATTATGTAATTCAATTGACGACATCAGTTTCTTGGGTAAGTCACCTCGTATGCCCAGGATACCACAACAGTTTTAACTCCAACAGCTTCCGTTCCATCCAGAATGCGGACAAGGATACTTGTAGAATTGATGGTAATACAGTTGCCCGTCATGTTCAGCAACGAACTTTTGACATGTCTATGGAAAATGATATATTCAGCTGAGCCCACAAGTAATTTTATTTATATTAAACCACAATACTTACTGTGAAAGCAAATTGTGTACTTTCCCAAGAAGGGTATTCACTGCAATTGGTGCTTTCACATACGCACTGCTCGTAAATCTCAGTTGGTGGGGCTTGATTCCAGCTTCACTGCAGGCTTTCTCATTCTCCAACAAGCACATGTTCTGAAAAAATAGAAAATAAACAAGGTCACGTTATACGAGCCACTCAACTGGTAAAAAACTTCCGTCATTTCGAGAAAAATGCATTCACAACTGTTCGAAACTCCGTAACAGCAGTAATCCACTTAATCCATGCAAATTAAAGCAACGTTGAACTTCCGAGCACCATTAAAAAAGTTTGCAGGGCAAAATTTACCTAACCAAATGTCACCACACGCCAGAAACTCAGTCTAAACGGTGGATCAACATGGGCAGACATTTGAAGTTTGAACTCGTGCACAATAACAGTAAAATTACTGTTATTGGAGTATTACAACATCACCTCGAAATAAGTGAATTATTTCAAGAAAAAATTTGCTAGTTCTGCTTTGTATTCTGCTGTAACTGAAATATTAACGGAAGATTTTTAATGAGAAAATCTTGCATTATTGATGGTTTGACGAAATTTTCAAACCACCAAATGTATTTTGCACGCAAATCCAAGACTTTTTCTAGAATTTTTTTTCGGTCAACGTTGGAAACAGTTGTGTTTGATAGTCGCGTAATTTTAATAAACATGGTCATACTGTACTTATGAAGTACTGTATTATGGCAATGATATACTGGAATCATCTAGAGTTAGAAACAGGGATAAACGAAAATTCCAGGGCACGCAGAATAAATTTCAAATTTACATCAAGGCAAATTGAAAAAAGTTCTAAAAGACGGAAATTGGATCGTTACACTGATAATCGTAAGGTTGTTATGTCATGGTTACCTCGTCCTTGATGACCATAACGCCACGAAGCAAATGCGGTTTTTTCGCTGTAGGCGTGAGATCCTCATCTCCTACCGGCCTAGATCGAGCTTCGCCGATATCGTGGTTGGTTTCGAAATCACTATCATCCTCTTCCCCTGGCTCGAGGGCTTCAATCGGTCTTTCCTTTTCGTTGCCGCCGTCGTAAACAAATTCCGAGGCACGGTGTGTCATGAGAGTTCTTTTTAAGAGATTCACGGATATTGTGGCGACCAATGTGGGCTGGATCGTAACAACAGCTGTTTCTCCATTGGCTGGTTTGTATACAGGTAATTTGAATTCCTGTTCAACAAAATCAGAGCGGAAAATCAGTCTTTTACAAGGACATAACATGAAAATCCAGTAATAACTAAGAAAAAAATTGTCTTTTTACGAAAATTTAAGACAATCTCAAATAGAATAGAAAATTCGTGAATAAAATCGATCACAAATACTGTACAAGCAGTTGTCACGTGCAATTTCCTATCAAGAAATGGTGACGTTTTGTAAAATTAATTTGCATGATACAAAAATCGGTATGAAAATGGGATCCCCAAGGTAATAATTTCACAGAAATCCGATTCAAGGTGAAACTACCAGCTGAGAATTAGGATTTAACGAAAAGTTTGAGATATAGTGTACATTAAATTCAAAAAACCAGGTCTATTCTGGTTCGAATTTTGCTTCAAAAAATCAATTACAAGAACTACTACTGTACTTTGAGATACTGTATATAATTTATCACTCTGTCATTTCAACAAACTGAGAATTCAATCTTTCGGAAACAGTATTAACACTTTTTTTTTGCCTGATGAAACATAGGGCTATGAATCACGAGTTTCGAAAACAAGAAGGCACAGCAGCTGTGATGTTTAAAATTCTGTAAGATCAGCACTGAGATCAGTATCGGCTGCAATTGAGTAAGAAAAAAGCCTATTTCGAAATTATTTTAAACAATAATAGGTTTAGACAGAATGAAATGAAAGAAAAAATATATATAAAACTCACTTCTTCGATTTTTCGCTTTAAAAATTCCATCTTCTCCCCTTCGCCGTGCACCAACATCACATTCCTCGGTTCACAGTGTTGAATCAGCTGCATGATACCTTTGGCATCGGCATGGGCGGAGAATGACATGTACTGCAATGAAAGCACTCCCATGAAACTTGTATCCTTTCACACTTGAGCTTCTTCACATGCTCACCTGCACTTGCAGTTTCACGTCGATCCACTGCCCATCGATTTCTACTCGTTTCGCTCCATTTACAATTTTATGCCCAACAGTGCCTTGCACGCAATATCCAGGCATGATTACCTATGAAATCGACCAAGAACGAAGTTCAACCACAACAATCGACAATATGGAGGAAACGGACAGATTATCCATGCTATAAAACCGTACAACACGCCACAAATTCGACGGATTTGCCGACTCCCCCCGATTCTCTCAAGAAAAATCTGCAGGAATTTCAACCTTACTTCAGGAAGAAACTCGCTCTCATTCTTTTACTATCTAGAACTCCATTCAAAGCTTGGATTAGCTTGAGTCCGCGGAGTAGAAGTAACACAACACTCATGTAGGTTCACATTTTTCTGATGCATGGAATTTGTTCAAAAAATGTAGCTGATACTAAGAATATTCCCCCAAGACTTGACGGAAATAGGAGGAAAAGGCATCAAGATTCAAACTTGACAATATATTTCTATTAAGGGCCTTTCAATGAACTCAGTACTAATTTCAGTGTGCTTCTTCATACTTTAATGTACAGTACTATGAATTAAATATTCAGAACAAATTTTGAAAACGCACGTACTTAGACGTAAGTACGGCATCAGCAAATAATTCTTGACGATGACTATCAGAGCATGTTCCAAAATTCAACAATGCCGATTTTATTAATACTGTACAAAATGTTTTCCTCATGACGAGAAGATTGGCATAACTCTTCTCTTTCAACGAACTGTCGTCAAATACAGAGAATACGGTAAATAACGTAGTGTAGCATTAAATTACCTGTACAGTAATTCATAAGTCTCATCGCATGTTTCATACCATATTGGTTTCATTCGGGGCCCACTTCTTGAAAAGTCCAAGTGCGAGGCCACCGTGCAACATCCCAGGTGTGGCAAACACGACCATGGGACCAGGGTTATCCGCAAAAGACTTGTCGAACAGTTTAATGTGCTTGAAGTCGAACATGTTCCTTTGGACGAAAGTCATCCGAATTTTCTCATTAGTCCAGGTTATGAACATCTTGTAGTAGTTGTTCGCCTAAGATTTCAAAAGATTATTAAATTTTGCGTTTTGTCAATGAACGCAAGTTGCTTACCTTTTCGGTTAAACCAACAGCGAAATAAATGGGTACCTTCAGGTTCATTCGTTCCCAATATGTTTCCAACAAAATACAAAGCTCTTGCGCTCGACCAACGGCAAACACTGGGATAAGTACTTTTCCGCCCTTTTCGATAGAATCATGAACCTTACGCAGCAAATCCCGTTCCCTGTAAATTGGCGGAAACGATGTTTTCAAAATGTATCAAACTACCCGATACTACAGCAGTCGGGAACAACTGGAAATCGACGAGAACACAGATATAGAACGAAATTTGAATTTCGACTGACCTACAACGTTTTGAATCACGAATTGTCGTAGCATACGTGGATTCAGTGATAAGCAAATCAGGTCTGCAACGATCAATCCAAGCAGCACCCAAGTGTCGATCTGGAGTCATGTTGTAATCTCCCTGCATCAGATCCGAGAAAGTTCATAAGGATACCCTTTACTTCTCCAAAAAATGTTAGAAACTCACAGTGTATACCATACTTCGCTCACCGACTCGAACATGGAACATGGCTGCACCAAGCACATGACCGGCGTAGTAAGCTTTGATTTCGAAATCTGGCTCAATTTCTATCACTTGATGAAGGTTGATCGCTGTAACTTTTTTCATACAGTCTTTGATCATCATAGACGTGAAGATATTCTGGTCGCCTTTAAACTCCATCGTAACTTTCCGCATATCTTCCTGGGATAAAATTTTGTCAACTACAATTCAAAATCGTTTCTCAAGATAGTGAAAGACGAATCGCACAACGCGTGTCAAACAAATAGGTGAACTTACGAGTAACAGCGGTGATATAGCTTTCGTGGGATGCGTCATGTAAATTGGACCCGAATATCCAACCATTTCTGTGAGATACGGCAAAGCGCCGCAGTGATCGAGATGAAAATGAGTAATGATAACGCAATCGATCATCTTGGTTAGGTCCCCTTCTCCAATATACGAAAAATCCGGATATCTTCTTTCATCTTGGAAGCCCATGTGCATCCCACAATCGAGCATGATAGTTTTACCGCCCATTTGAAGCATCAGACAGCTTCGACCAACATCCTGTCCAGCACCTGTATTGATAGTCGGAATTATGAAAAAGCACACATCACTCCTTCCTAAATGATAATTACCCAATGGTGTGACAAGCAGTTCGGGTGTAACCATTGTTTCACTTTTCAGATTCAGTTCATAGCATAACACACGATCCCGGAAATGACGAAGAATCTATCGAATGAAGGCATGTTAAAAGCCGACTAATGAAATCACAATCCAAGGGAAATCTCTCGTACAGCTCAACAAATCACTTCCGAACCAGTTAAAAAAAACGGAGACCAATCTATCACTCCAGCATCTTCAAGCACCTCGTTAACGTCCAGCATGAACAACTCGCCCGGCTGCTACACCGGTTCACAGTTTCATGAAAATTGTGCTTGCGGTAGTATTATGCCACAATTCACTGGACTGTAATTGAAGTAATCGGGAAAACACGAAGAGCTGCGGTGCTTCTTTCGCCATAGGATCATGTCCAAAACTCAAGGGGCAGAACAAAACAAGTACTGTCCAAATAATCCTGACCCTCGTCCATAAACACCGCACGTTTCTGCGGCTGCGGTCGGTAAACTTTATCCCTGAAACTCATCCAGAGCAGGTGTGTATGCTTCTAGCGACATCTTTTATCCCTGAAACTCATCCAGAGCAGGTCTGTGTGCTTCTAGCGACATCTTATCAATGCAAGAGCAGTACAAAATCAACAACGTTTTGACGTGCGGTAGAGAGAGCGTGAGCTGGCCCTGGATATCAAGGGGGATGGCTCGAGCTAACAGGGATGCCCGATGCAGAATTTATTCCTGCCTATCCTCCGGCATCCTCGTTCGTGAATAGAGTGGTGCATGTACCTACTCGCATAGATTGTCCCAACTCGCAGAGTATCGCAGCCTTCGAACTAAAAGATTCACAGATGTGCAGTACAGAGACGATAGTAACATGGCCGCACTCGGTGCAACGGTAGTTAGTCCTTGAGTGCGATGGGTTATCTCTCTACCAAATCACAATTTTTATGCATCTACTGTAATGTGATGAGTTCCTGTTACCTGCTCTTTGTTGCTGAAGTAAGTGCATGAAAGCTATACGTATGTGCATCAGGGATGTACTGTTCGCAGTGAATGCAGTTGTTGATGTTGTGTAACTTCTGATCGACTCTTGATTCATTAATTGCAATAGCACTCTTGATGCCCTCAGGGGTTGTTCTCCTATGTTTCCTGTGCTGTCCGTCCGAGCCCGTGCAATATACGGAGAAAATTGGAAGTTTAACGAAAGCCAAAAGTTCAATCGATTGACGTTTCTATTCATGGGACATCATCTTTCGCTGTCGAATATTATGTACGAAAAATCGATTCATTTTTTTAAGGAATAAATAGAAAGATGCTGATGGAATCTTGAAAAGTTCTCGCCCTCGTGGTAAGAACTATGTTGAGCCTTGTGAACGCTGCGAAGCTTAGTTCATCTGCAAGCGTACTTGACACTTCATTCGATTCCATTCTTTCGGAGACATCGTCGTCGTCTTCGGACTCCCATTCAAATTGTCTAAGAGGTAATTGGAACAATCGCTTCGAAGACTTTATTCCGGAGCCTAACAGTGTATTTATTATTTATTTTCTCGTGTCATTTGACGTACGAAGAGATACACGCAACTCGGATTTATGAAGTATCGCGTTATTCGTCCACGGATGATGACAGCTCGGAAGCTGACGTTTTTGATGACGAATCATCTGACGACAGTGAGCCTGACACCGAGTCAGTCGGTCACAGCATTGTGGAGGTGAGGAAATGTGCCAAACGTTTCCGTGCAGATTTTAGCTCGTTAAAGTCAAGTTGAGCTCAATATCGTTCACCTCGATGCCCGTGTGGCATTGGAAGCGAATGACACGAGCAAAATTTTTCTTTTAATATGTTCATTTTCTTGTTTTTTGTCGATTTGGGATGTAATGTCTACGCTCAAATCCTGTCGTGGGGCAAATTTAATATTATTTGAACCAGGACTGCTGCATGAGCTATACTAATGGTTGAGGGTTGTAAATCCTTTAGCACTGTTCTACACATGGCAGCCGATATTATTTTTAACACTTCGGCTGTTATTCGACGAAGCAGAAGGTAAAAAAATTATGCGTACTGCATCCAAAGAAGACCATGAAAGAAGCACTGGACTGCAGTAAGCTGAACAACGGAAATTAGTTATCTCGAGAACGGCGAAAAGAACAAAGGTGAGCTGTGTTTCAATGTCTTAATTTCTGAGAAAACTAAAATGTTACCTCGAATTCTGAACTTCTTTATGACACGGCGAAATTCTGATCCTGTATAGGAATTTCTGTTTCATTCGTAACAATGTTCTCTCGAGAAAGAATATACGATTGCCGGAATTTTTACGGGATAAAATTAAGCATCATTGAAAATATTGTATACTGCTTTTCTGTATACGGTGCGATTCGAATTCTCAGATCTTTCTTCTCTGAACACCTGTGCATCTTCACTTTCGGAAGAACAAATGATTCAGAATTTGTGGTACTGTATGCTTGTATTGAATTATATTGAGCAGTATTTGATGTGGCTGATGATTAATCTCATTTTTCCCCTTTTCCTTCTGATTTTTTTTTGAGACCAGGTTGTAATCGTCTATGATGAGCTACTCTGGGAGGAAGGCTTGGGTAACAAGTCGACTGAAGTGGCGACTCATAAAATATATTTTTCACGTTCGTTTCATTTAGCTAATGTAAGAATATACATTCTTTCATCCTCTCTGTAGTCGTCCCACGGAGACGTTATCCTCGTAGATAGCGACGATAGCTCGTGTATCGAGTATGTGGGTGACGGAGAGAGTGACCAAGATGAAGGAGAACCCGTATCTTGGCTCTTCGAAGCCAGAGCGGATCCTGATTTGGGTTTGAAGCGGTCTACCTGTGTAGAATGTGGCCGTGATGTTGTTGGCCTAAGTTATCATCATTGCCGAAAATGTTGGAAGGTACGGATGATGGATTTATTTTTAGATTAGTCAATGTGTTCTAAAGTCAGAGGTTCTCGTGTTAAGGAAACCTCATGAACTGTGCCAGGGGTCCATAGGGAAATAAAAATTACGTTCAAATGTTGAAGTGTGGTCGGAGGATGATGATAACCCGAAAAAGCCGTTCACAGTACCATAGCATCTCCGTGCTTTACTGTAAGAATTATTTTTTCCAGAAATGGCGGTCATTCTATTCCGACGGGTTCTCCATGAAGTTACGCCGGCCCACAACGCTGAAGCGAGTGTTCCAAGAAGTAGAAAGCAGTGACAGTGATGCGTCTTCTTCAAATAAGTCAGCCAGACTGAATGATTCAAAATCAAGTTCCCAATCGTCCGTCGAATCGATCTCAGATATCGTACCTGGGAACTCGTCGAAAATACCCGAAAAATGCCTGATGTGCCAGGAAGCCCCGAGTGAAATGTCGATTGAGCATCCAAAAGTCCTCCATCAGTGCGTTTGTCGGAAATGCGCAAGAGCTATCAAATGTTTGCCGAAGGATCTCCAGAAATGTCCGTTTTGTGGACGGCGTTTCACCGGTATAACCAAAGTTTTTTGAAGTGAGAGTGAGTGAATGAATGTGAAGCGGTCTTCATTTTTTCCCCTGCTTTTCTGTTCGCCGATGAAGGAAATTGCATCTGCTGTTCGCTCTTTGAAGGTACGTGATTAAAACTATGTTCCTTGGAAAGCACCGACTACCATTTCATTTCATCCCATGAATTACTTGAAGGATTATCACTTGATGAAATTTTATAGTTGAAGTATTCTCGGGCATTCGATAACTGGTCTGTCTGAAGAGATGCCTGTCAACTTTTCCTGCACCCTCTTTTTCTGAGACTGACAAGATTATGGATATAAAAGGATTAACGCAGATGATTAGTCCTAACATGAACCTATCATAAATTTTAAACGTTCAACTGAAATACTGAATGTGATTATTTTCACAAAGATGCCCATACTGTAGTAAAAAAAATTTTTAGAGGGTACGAGTGGAAACATTCAAACCTTCGTTGATGTTTTTTCGATCAGAGAAGTTCAATTAATACTGATTTCAATGATGCCTAGGCATGTTCAATGATAGGTTCGAGTATAATTCTCATTCTATCCATCTTCCATGGTAAAAAAAAAAAAAAGGTTGATAAGCTTTCGGTCTGCATGCAAATCATAATCTCCCGAAATCACAATGCGAACACAAGTTACGTTGAAAAATGCAAGAATTTATCACTCAACATCATGAAAAATGAAGTGAAATTAATTCGAGAATTTACATCCAACAAGGCTTAGTTGATTGAGATCATGTCCAATATTGGATGCGAAGGCAGTTTCTTCAAACTCAACTGCAGTTCATCTGAAAATTCGGGAAGAATGTCAGAAACAAAAACGCAAAACTTAAAACAACAAAAAACAATACCTTTCGAACTCAGGAAATAGCCCTTGTCCAGACACAACTTGACCAATGTGGCTAAACGCATGAATGACATTTCCCCTGCTTCTTCAAATCCCTTTTTCCAGTGGTGCTGAAAACAGTCAGCAAGATCAACTATGATGGATATCACTTCTTTGGACTGTAGGGCGGTTTCGGGTTCCAACTTGCTCCAAGCGAACTCAACGCAATCTCTGCATCGAAAATCCCACTCAGAATACCATCGCCATGAATCACTGTTGGGACCGGTTTTAATGACCAACGGGGAAACAATGCTCCATCTGTTGAATACAAAAGATAACATACCTAGGATAATCTTTATCACTTCATCTTAAAAGCTCAATTATCCGGCAATTGTCCCAGTTATAATCATGGCTAATTTAGATACAGACCCGGGAGTATCTTAGCTGAATAATCTGAAAATTGAATGTACCATAGTCATTTCAGTACCACATGCACCTTTTCTTCCAAATTGAGAGAAAAAAGTAAGGCACATCATAGGCTGCTAAACAATTTCTGACATTCACAAGTGCATCATGCTTTGTAGAAATAGATCATTTGACAAATCAAATGAAAATGTAAAATTAATTTAGTTCAGGTACAATCCAAGTAAAAATTCTAATTTTGATGTTTTATCATCATAATATTGCACTTATTAAATCATAGAAAATGGGGTGTCTTACTTAAGGGCCTGTGTCACTCAAATAAATACAGTAATATCACTAATATGTACTGTACAGCTTTCCTGATATCCAAAATTAAAATGTATGGGTGGACTTTCTCTCCATTTTCTCTGTGTAATAATTATTTGGTTTCTTACGATTCTTTTGTCATGTTATAGGGGTTCTCTACAATGAATTCTTCCCGGTCCCTCGAATTTGTTGGCGCAGAAAATCCATCTTCATATCTATACAAGCTGAATAACTCCTAAGTATTAATGAAAATAGAACGAACACTTGATAAAATGAAGATCTTATTTCTAAAAATCAGTTCTTCATTCTTCTTTCATTCTTCATTCTTCAACCCTTCTTCATTTTTTTGAAACAACTCGATAAGAGATATATCCAATTTTTGTTCGCTAAAAATAAAAAAAAACACCATACTCTACAACACTTGAACCAATAGATTCCTTTACCTGAACATAGCGGCCAAGGGAGATGAAGCTGGCATCACAATGCCACCTGGTGGCAATAATTTCGACCACTTCGTAATCATGGGTAACACCGGGATTTCAGGGGCAGAACGGATCCAAGTCGTCAAGACCTCTATTAAAACGGTCGGCGGAATTTCGTCGCCAAATTCAGCATGGCTGCTTTCTCTTCTTCCTTCAACGACAGCGAAAAATTTTTTTATTTCACTCAATAAATCTAACATCTTCTTCTGTCGCAAGATAAAATTCCGCTCACTCTTTCCAGAATACAAATGACCAAGCACGCCGATGAAGTGTCCAGCAAAAAATTGCGAAACGTTTCTCAGTTCTTTCAAGTACCCCAGTGCGGGATCAGGAAGCAGGTAGACAAATTCTCGGACTTGATCGTCTATCACCTTCGTTGCCAACTTCGAGGAAGAGCCGGTTTGCTTCATGTTGAAAACAAATAAGATAAAAAAAAAATCGATGAATGATATTTTCCTCCCAAACATTGTACAAAATACTTATTGACGCAACATTCCTACATTGATCTCAAACTAAAACTAGCCCAATACATGGGAATCAAGTTACGCAGGTTAGGTGTGTTGCGTTACCACGGGTTACTTCTGAGTGTTGGGTTACATTAGTTTGGTTCGATTTTAAAACATTACTTCTTTGTATTTTAAGAATTATAAGAGCAGGAATGGTACGCCTGTTCTAAACGAGGATACCCCAAGAACAAATAAAAATATATTAAATAATATTATACATAAATAAACATATGAAACAACAACAAAAAATAATTCAGAAGCACTCAAACAAATAATTCAGCCTAAATACTGATCTCCAAGTCAACGACCCAAACGCTACTCACAAATATGGTTACCTAATTGAAATCATAGCCAGGTTTAATGTTTAGCTCGCCAAAAATTGCACAAATACAATACTAACTTGAACGAAAACGAATTTAATTTAAAATTCAAGCACATACTAACAAACCCAACCCAAAACCTACACAATACATAACCCGAGTTTAAAATAAGCTCCAACTAACCCAACCCTCTACACCTGTATTATCCTAGGAAGGGAAAACCCTTTCATAGCCTCACTCATGAGAGAGCACACTTAGTAAACTCTCTCAAATCAATCATCAAATCATCTGTTCTCAAACCTCATTCATTTTGGGCTTCTGTAGAAGTGGAAAAGGTTAGTCAAAATGAACCTGTCACCAGAGAGATGAGTTAATTCCAACTCAAGTGACAGGTCCACCTGAGGATTAATTCAATGCAGAGTACAGTATTTTGAATTCAAGTATCCTTCTCCTTTCATTCCTCTGCAATAGAGCAATTGACCCACTTCCCATCTCTTCCTGGTTCAAACCCATCCAGGCTTGAAGAATTATCATTTCTGGAAGGATAATTCTAATTCAGGCTATATCTACAGTCTGCCCTAACACTAGTTGGTTAAATTGGACTGGAGAGTTTGGAGGGAATTGCATTCTTATACAGTGGAATTCCAATTTTGTGTGCTTTTACTTTTGTCTTGTATTGAATTTTTGATACCAAACGCAAGGTGTGCGTTGTTTGAATAGTATTGAAGTATTGAGCCACACTTCTGACTTTGTCCTCTTATGTACATCTCTTGAAAATAACACCAAGAAAAATAATGACAACACCTGTAATTAATCTATTACTGCACTAGAAATCCCAAAACCTGATTCATGCGTCTAAAGCCTAACAAAATAAAAAATACGGTAATATACTGTATTTACTAACTCTACAATTCATGTAACTAAAGCCAACTTAAATTTATCGCACATCCGCTGATATTTGAAATAGCACACAGAAGTATTGCGACGGCACCATCAAAAAAATAATTGCATCAATAATACCGTATGTATACCGTACAGGAAATATGATCCCAACTCACCCCCAGCAACACAGCAGTCGAATCCAAAATCGGGACAAGTCGCAAGGAAATCCCAATCGAGGTCAATCGCGATAACATGGAAACTCTTCGCTTATCCGAGGGATGCTGAAACAGGGTCATAAAGATGAGATTGCGTGTGGGTGCATCTTCTGCCAGTGGTGGATTGCAGAAGAAGTCTCGCAGCTCGTTTAACACGATGAGTTCTCGGATGGCAGACAAAGGTCGTCTTTCTCCGTCACGGGGATTCACGTCGTAGAACACATAGTCCAGGGACGGGTTCATGCCCATCAATGAACCCGTTGGGGATGATACTGAAACGGAATTAATCAATAAACAATGTACTTTCGATCCCAACCGTGTTGGTGATGTTCGAATTTGTTTTCTGAATACTGTATACAAAAGTATTTTCCACTGCGAATCCACTCTGAACACGTACGATGGTTCATCAGTTTTACAGTACAGTACTGTACCTTGGAGTCAAATTCTTCGAGTGGTAAAGAAATTTACATTTGCCAAGGTTTTTACACAATTTTAGACCTCTTTTTCGGGCAACTTCTTGCTATTCAATGGATCACTTCACCGTACCCCTAACATTGAGAATTAAGAGTACATGAAAATTCCAAGATCAGAACTTTTTTCATCGATACTGTACATGTAAAACAAGGTCACACGAAGATTTTTTTCAACGCTTTAAAAAATTTAGTTGTACTTAGTAGATAGCAAATTTTGATAAAACAAGAATGACAGATGGTCCTAATTCACTCAAACAGAGAATTTCATCTCTCCTTTTCAATTTTAATCCGAATCAGCGAAAATTGGGACTGGTCTAAAATAAACTCGTAGAACATTTTTGATTTCCATCAACCCTCAAGATTTTCAGGACAGGTAGACCTTATGAACCAACCACGTTATATTTTGGAATAACTAATTAAACCATTGCAACAGTTGATTTTCAGTCAAAGTGGTGAGCGCCTAAAATTTATTTATTTACTTCTATGACAACTAAAATCAACTTAAGAAGAAGAAAATGAATTTTTAATCGAACACAAAGACACAAATATTTCTTATTCAATGGGTTTCAGTGTTCAAAAATTTACTGCGCAGTGGAAACTACATTATTTCAATAGTGTTTCACCATTAAATACAGAATTATATCGAAAACCCTCTGCATGATTCTCAACGAATCCCATGTAAGTCTTGGACAAACCCAGAAGCTGAAGAAAATTGAGATGAACGTTATTCGAAAGCAGTTCACGCAGTTACGCTACAGTATTTTTTCATAGTCACGAAATTTACTGGAAATTAAATCATGGTAAAATTGTCTCTCTGCGCAGTGATTTATAGATTTAATCTGAATAGAACTAACGAAAGTAATATTTACATACCAAGTATATCCAAAGCCTCCCGAACGCATTTCGGAAAGCCGGCATCATTCAGAGCTCTACAATGATCTTGAGCTCCCAAATCAACTCCACGCGCCACTTTCGCTCGATGTTTCGACATTCTGCTCAAGAAATGCAAAAATGATCACGAAATCAACTAAAGTAATTCCTAAAGAACAAGAGCAGCAATGGTATTCAAATAAGTAGTGTTCACATTCAGGTCAATAGCAAGAGTACACGAAATCTTCAGACAAAGTCGGTTCAGCAAAATTCAGGCGCAAGGTGAAAACAAAAACGGTCACAAATTTTCCAACGAAAAGAGAGTTGAAAAAAAATAACAACGCGTCATTTTGAATCCAACGTGCCGTCCGAAACTAACAAAATTTTCCCCGGGAGTTCCTTTGGTCCGGGCGTTTTCAAATGGATCTCGTCCTTGCTTCTGTCAACCTTCGAACTATTGCGAAGAAAAGAATCCAAAATGATTATTTTCTTTCAATATCTCAATCAAGATCCAGGAATACGGGGTTGATTGGTGAAATCATAATTAAAATTATGCGAGGAAAAATAGAAGATAAAATTGGAAATACATTATATTCATGTGAAAAAAAAATCTGAACGATGTCCTACAAGGAGGATCGGGAATAACTTGTCGAAACATTTGACTGTTCAAGAGTTTTCTGAACTGATTTAAAAAACTACATCAATAATAAGCACCTTCGCATGATACAATTATTTTCCTCATTTTTGGTGCTTCCATCAAGAAAATCACCTGCAAAAACTTACACCCAGCCTTTTTTCGAAGCCATCAAGCAGCAGTTGTCAGATACAAAATAAGTCCCTAGAAAGATGTTTAAAATTGTTGAAGTGTTGATATCTGATAAATTTGACACACAAAAAAAACTCGAGATATCTTCTAGAGGAAAAAGACCGGCGCACCAAATCGATTTAAAAATTCGTCACTCATGTTACTTCGGACGAATTGGAATTTATTTTTTCTATCAGAAGAAAATTGCTAAAACGTGACAGTATTATTTCATCAGACTGCAATGAAAGAGATTCGCAAGAATGCGAGAGACCCCTGACAAAAATCAATCGAAATGCAAATACAGTACTTACACAGCAACGTAACCAAGGATGTTCCGGAATCCTGCGTCTTCTTTCGAAGCAGATGAACTTATTCCAAGTAAATCGTGCTCCAGTTCACCTGATAAGCATAAGACAAACAAATACATGATGTCACAAACTCACAATCCAACTGCGTGTCGAAATATGCTAAAATTATATTTTTTTACTTACCGAGTCGTTTAGATGACAACCGAATTTCATTATTTTTATGACTTCGTCGGTCTTCCGCCATTTCACAAATTTTCACGGAATCGACGGGTTGAATGACAACCGGTCCAGATTTATCTGCTGGAACATTATTACCGTGGAAATCCACTGTTCCGAAATACTGCCCCACAAGCAGATCTGCGGCATCATGCAAAACTCTCTTGGTTCGCTTTCTCACCTAAGAATGAAATAAAAAATCACAAGTTCATTCTATTGACCTTCTTTTTTCCAAATCCAGAGCCGCACGAAAAAAAATGCCCACTGAATCTCAGAAAAATATTGTCGCGAACAATTTGATCGACGGTTTCCTTCAATTAAACGCTAGACTTCCGAAGGTTCTTAATTTACTTTGGTGTCGCCTGACCTTTGTTCATATTTCTTACTAATTTTTCCAATAAAAATATAAGCTCTTCAGAAAATGAGAAAAAATGAGGAAGTTCAAATTCGGGAGTCTCGAAAATTGTTATAAGATTCACGAAGGAATAAAAACAGGGCATGCTCTTGAAGTTATTTATAAAATTAGAATTATGATAATCCCATCATTAAAACTATTGCAAATTACACTCCAGCAAACCCTGATTATCGCTTTGAATTATACAAATATACAACGATCTCTAAAGTTTAACTGAATCCGATCAAGACAGTAGTTTATCTAACCTTCTGGATTTGTTCCAGCAATCAATCACTTGTTCACGTATGATCCAGTAACTTTTGCTCGAGAAATGATGTGCGCATCTATTATTTGTAGGAAATTTAAATTGAAGCATAATTACCCCGAGAATCGGCGGTAGGTAGCAGATGTTGACAAACGGTGGGAGATATCGAACAGCATCGTTATAAAGTTGCTCATTTTCAATGACGAGAACATGCGAAACTTCAAGAGCCATTGCAGCGTGTTGAATATGCCGTCGATCATCCGTATCTCCGTTCGTATCGATTATCAACCCCGATGACTTAGCTGGAAAAGGAAAAAGTTAAAAACCAAAAACAGTACAGTGAATTAATCAAAGAATGAATGAATAACGAATAAACAAAAATGCGTAAAATATTTCTCAAAAGAATCAAAATAGCACAGGGTTATTTTGTTTTAGCCTTTTATCGTGAACAGAAATGCAAGCACGAGGTCCTTCCGTTTTCCTTTTCACGTCACAGAAAACTCTTCGCTGAAACTAACACCAATTTCAGTGACAATTTTTTTGCAGAACATATTTCCTTCTTAAAGAACTCGATGGGTTTTGAGTAGAGTGCAATAATTTACTTACTCGAAGGACAAGAATCCATGGCAGCCAGCACGTTTTTGCTCAACTCTCCAACAATCACGTTGTACGCATGTTTGTTAAAATCTATGTACGCATGACCGAAATGGTACATCAGTGGAGGTTTCCGGAAGTCCCCGAAACGGCCCTTGTCATCACTTACTTTGTCTACAACCACAGCGCCTGAAAAAAGTACATAAAAATGAATATACTGTATACACATTTTAAGAGATAAAAAACTTGGGAAATTTTAGGCAAAAGAAACTCAGTTCATTTTTTTAATTAATCTCGAGGGTTTTTCAATCTTTAAATTTTTTTCAAAATTATCCAACCGAGTGAAAATTTTGCAGAAATACACAGAATAGATCAATATTCTCATTTAGACTCTTTCCGAAGAGCTAGACCAAAAAGTAGCAAATTCGGTACTCTCGGAAGCCGTTTCTCTGGGACACACGAATACCGTGTTTTCCTTGTCAACTGAATCAACATTATCCTGAAGTCGTTTAGATTAAAAAATTTGAATTTTGTAGCACCTTTTTTCTCTCAGAAATGGCAAGCCCATCACAAAATTTCAGTTCAGAAAGGTATTCCCCCTCGTGAATTACCGATTTCTTACACTTGTTGCAGAAACGCTCGTAGAATTTTGAATCTCAGCACTTCTCTTCTCGCCTGTCTTGAGACACATTACACACATCACTACAACTGGATTCTTTCTACAACAAAGTTCAAGGGGCCAGAAAAAAAATGGTGGAGAGAACCCTTATGTAATGGGCAGATAACCCTATAAGACGGGATACGGACAATGCAAGACAGGGCCAATTTGACGAAGGGTCGTTGAGAGACAGGGTCAAGAGACACAAAAATAAGGCGTAACCTTCACGTACATCTTCACCTTCATTCTCTTATTCTTACACTTTTTTCAAAGCCCGTATAACTCATAATTCATCACATATTCATTATCACACGTATGGAATATTATTGTTCAAAATGGATCAAGGGAGGAATGAAAGCCAGAACTACTTTGTTTTTTCAACAAACAAACAAAAAACAGCTTAAGCAGTGCTGAGGTTCTTAGATCAGGAGAGGTGGTGTATTTTCACGTCAATCACAACTCGAAATTGAAAAACAGGGAGTCATGATTATACTGTATTATGCAAATAAAAAGGCATTGGCCCATGTAACCCAAATTGATTGATGGTAATCAAAATATATCTGTCTTGAATAATCCCTGTCCCAAAAAGTTTTTGTCTCTATTGATCCCTGCCTTGAAAAATTTTGACTCAAATAATCCCCGTCTCAAAAAGTTTTTGACACAAACAATCCCTGTCTCAAATTGGCCCTTTTTAAAATTGTCCAAGTTACACTTGAGACCGAAAACAAATTCGTTGTTCAGCACAGATATAATCGTTGTAGAGAGTCTACTGCTGTACTGTACAGTACTTCAAACTGCACTTACCCAGAGTTCCAGGAACCCCGAGATCGCCATGCCTGACATCCAAGCTCACAAAAATCGGCGTTCGCCCGATCTGAACCGCATAATTCAACAACGCTCGCACCACCGACGTCTTGCCGCAATCGTAACCCCCGATAACCATAACCCGTGGACCCCGTTGCCCGGCATCCTCAGCCTTAATCCGCTCCAATTCCAACAAGGCGTGATGTTTGAGGATGACACCCTGCGGACAGTGGGTCTCAGGGGTTCGTTTCACCTCACCAGTGATCTCCACCACGCAGCCCTTCCAAGAGAATAACGTCACTTCCGCATCCGGATCCAAAGGGTAGTCCACGTTCGGTCTCAGAGGGGTTCCACCCAATTCCGCGGCTCCCACTACAATCTACAGGAAAAGATTAAATTGCAACATTTTCAGCGTGATCGAGAGGAATACTTCTAGAAGAAAAGGGTTCTTCTATAAGTGGTTCGCAGGTAACGCAGGGTAAAAAAAAAGTACAGTATTTGAATTCGATATTGAAGACAACGAAAATGTGATGGCATCGGGAAGTTAGCCGCGACCGTAATAATGGAATTAGGCATGAACAAGATTCATACTGTAAGTCACATTATCATCATGACTTGAAAAGCGATAAAATGAAGAAACAATTTTGAAGATCCATTTGCCACAAATTTTAAGCGAACACTCAAGAAACGTTTCACTGAGAATTATCTTGAATAAAGAGGCTGCTCATAAACTGGTTGAACAGTTACTGGTTCTGCGATTGGAGTGACAGGAAATGAAATTTGTATTTTTCCTCAATCGTTCAATATTGCAGGGGAATTGAAACATTTTCAGTCGAAGAGAAACACTCTGCAGAAAATGTTGAATAATGTACTGTACTTCCATTTCCTATGAAACATGACCAATTCCCAACAGAAACTCGACCGTAATTTCGGCTTTCAGACACAATAACCCAAGGGGAACAACGAAAAAACCAACCATATTTGGCAAGAAGTGAAACGTTTATAATCGCACCTTCACGAATCACACGATGAATACGTGGTCTTCACATACGTCAGTGTAATTTCAGACAAAATTAAATACTGTAAGATCGAATTACAGTATAAAGGCAAACTGAGTCAAGTTTTCCATTCAATGTTCTATTATTTTGCCGTTCACCAGAAGTTGATACTTTTTAGCAGGCTAAACTCAAAAAGTTTTTCTCAGCACTAATAAGAATTTTTTCAACGGTGGGCCAAACATAGAAAATGACTCGGCTATTACTTGAATTTACGTTTGTAATATCATCAACTCAAATTTTGCAAGAAAAATTGAGTTCTCAAAATATACAAACAGAAATCTCAACTTAATATTGTACATTAAAAAATAAAGATTCTCAGCACCTTTATCAACTTAAAATACGCTACCTAAAACAGCAATTAAAAAAAAAACATGTTTTTTCCTTTTTTTTTTTTTTTTGTCTACAATACTGTAGACTTGAGATAAACTCAACCTTCTTAATGAAGGCATGAAACAAAAAGGTCCTTCATATCAGAGGGAAATTCTTCACCGTTCGCAGGAATAACAATTCGCACTTTAGAAGCAGCACAAAGGTTAAACGAAGGATTCCTTAAATATTTTCTCCGCCAAAAATCGCATACCTTGAAGGATGAATTCGAGTCTCGCCTGGATGACAATTCCAAAGCAGTGAACGCGTTCACAATGATCTGCTCTTCGGACTGCGTGTCTTTCTTCGGAGCTTCAGACATCTCACTTCAGGTCCTTTCCCTCCCTCTCTTCTTTTTGAACAAGAAAAAAAGAGACTCAGAAAATCAAAAACGGAAACGTAACGACAAAAAATTAAAAAGCGAAGCTGGAAATAAAATTGAGAGCATCTAGAGAATCCACGCTCGAACAAACGTTTACTTCGAGGAAGGTGAGAGCAAAACACCGATACACCGAAGACATTTTTCTTTGACCAGATCACAAACGTTCAGCGCCGCAGCCGACCGTAGTCACCATTGAAGAGGGCAAAGGTGGGGTGGGGAAGTCTTCGTTGAGTTAAATTTCAACCACCAGGAAAACTTGGAGAAATCGTGTGTGTTCTCCTCAAAAGATGTGTTCCAAAAAAATGTCCGCATTCTTCCATCAGACATCAAACAGTTCCACTTTTAAAGTCTATTCGGAGATCTTTTACTTTGCGGTCGAAAAAAAAACACACACACAGTCGAGCAGTATGGTTATTTTGTGGAACGGAATCAAGGTGTTATCCGATAATGAATAAGCATTCTCGACTGAAGAACCCGCAGCTCGAAGTTACGTCAGGAGTTGAACGAGTCAATGAAGCATTTCTTTTCTCGGATCGATTAAATGAACAGAATTTCTTGAAGTCTATCAACGAAACCAATGCCATTCATTTACAACCAACGAATGCACGTAAAAAATAAAAGCTGTCCCAAATAGGGCGAAAACAGGACTCAAACAACGTAAACGTAAGAGTTTATGTCGGTCGTGTCCCGCGCAATGTAGCGACTTTCGATCAGCCACTCAATCTGCTCCTTAATCAGCTTCTTGGAAGGTAGGAACATGTTCCTCAGAAGCAGCACGACTTCAACGTGCAGTTGTGCGTTCGAAAGTGTTTTTCGAGTTTTCATCACCTTCAAAATGGCTTCCTGCGTCCGCACTATCCTTAGCAGTGTTATCCCTGTTTCAGGACCATCAATCAAAATCAATCAACGTCAAATACTTTCTTAAATTTGATTTGAATATAATAGAAGAAAACCTGCGATACAAAATATGATCAGACGAACAAAATAAAGGTTGATTATAGCTACAACGATCTTGTCTAAAGCAATTTTTCTCCGTATCACTAATATTTTCAGTCCTATGAGGTTCTTTTCTCATGTTATCAGGGTTCTCTGCAATGAAATTCTCTACAACGACTTCTTTCTGATACCTTCTCTATACAACGATTTTTTTTTGTTACCTTGAATTTCGCTGTGGAGAGTCCACCCGTACAAAATAATTCATACATAAAAACCGAGCATCTCCTCAAATCTATGCCGAATGTTTACTCAGTGAATTCTTTTTTTCACAAAAAACAAAACAAAAATAGGCGTCACCTGATTCCTCGGCATTTTGTCATGCGCAAAGACAACTAAAACTAGTTGAGGTTAAATTGAAAAGACTTCAACTGTTCGTAATTTAGGAAACGATAGAATTTTGGAATTTTAAATGCGACTGTAAATCCTCCTCATCTTAAACTGATTGGATGGCCAAAAATTAGGAATGGAAGAAAATATTTTCTCATGCCTTCAGAATCGTCGTCGGACGCCTTTTCCGTCGACAACTGCAGTCTTCCTATTAGGTTCACCTTTCCACGCTTTTGGACTTTTCCGTTTTTGATCAGCGAAAAGCTCTTGTTCACCCAGAACACGGTGGCGTCCGTGAAATCCTTTGCAGACGAAACGTCAGGCTGATACTGAAGCACTTGCTGCTTGAGCTTGGGGAAGTTCACTAGAGACTAAACCAACCGAAAAAAGTCCTTTCACATTTCATGAGCACTAAAATTATACTGATCAGATTTCATTTCAGACTAAGGCATGGAACAGACCCAGAGAGTACGCCGCAATTCCGTGTCGGGAAGCTGAGTGGACAGTCTCAGGCTTTCCAATGAGAGCGAGTCATCAGGTCGCATGTTCCAGCTCAACAAAACTGCCATTTGAAACGTCGTGACGTCCAAGTCATATTTTCCTAAATCACTTGTAAATATCAGCTGCAAACACACAGATCTTCTTTAAGAACAAAATACTTCAGAAAAAAAAAGGCGAGGGAAGAACCAACCGTCCCATTCGACATATGATGATGCCACTGCAACTTGCGACCAGAATGCTTGGATTTATAAAACTCTTCCACCTCGGGAATATAATCTTCCAACTCCATAGGCAAAGATACCGTCACTCTTTCGCTTCCTCGCGACCATGCTCCAGCATTCAGAATCTTGACGCAAATTGAATCTTAACCAAGAGCAATAACACGTTATCATTCGTATCAGTGTAAAAAATGCATCACCTACCGGCTAATGAACCCCTGGATGCTCTGATGTGGTCTTTGAATTGTTGATTCAAATCCTCGCTAACTTTGATATCTTGGAACATTCGTGAGATCTTGCTCACGTACTCTGCTGGCATCCCAACATCCCGCAACCTGGATTCCCAAAAAACGGAACTCTGACAGGCTTCCAACATTAAATGCAAGGTAATTTACACGCTTTTTAACTCAAAAAATTTCAACGCAATGCAGAGGTCATGGACAAATAATTAGGAAATCTACATTGAAGTAAGACGGTACACTGAAAGAATGGGGGAAATCTTGGCATAATCCCAATATCGGTTTGGCGCTTGAGAAAAATTAATCAAAGGTAGTTTTTGAGCGAACTCACGCATTCTGCTCGGATACATTACAGGGTACTTCAAAATCTTCAATGACCAGAAGAAGTATAAAAAATCTTTTTTCTTCACTCTCTGAACAAAAAAAGACTTTAACACGATCTTGAAATCCTCGAAAACCATAAAAGACAGCGAACCCTTAACCCCACTATACTATGCGGTAAATAAAAAAAAAAAAAAACAAGTTTTAAACATGGTCAAACCTCCGAGTTAAATTTCAAAGGACCAGCAAAAAAAAATTCGAGTTAGAGAAACAAGCGCTTTTTTTGGGGAAAGAAGAAGCATTACAGAAACTTGTGACTTGTGTTATTCTGGGCCTTGAATTGTTTTCTGAATGTGTAGACAGGATGTTGAAGGAAAGGGTTTATTCGCCCGATTCGTCTTTCAATTTCTTTTAAAACGTCCAAAAAGTTTCTTTCAAAACTTTTTTGTTTTCCTATTCCCTGTGTCAATAAAATAAAAGACATAAGTCCTCCAGAAAATTCGACTTGTGGAGGTTTGAGGGAAAAGCCTTCGAGTCAGGGAGGTTTTCCATGCAATGTTTCGAATGGAATCCAGAGAGGGGCTAGAAAAAAATTCTACATCGGGAGGTTCGAGTGATCAAGATTCAACTGTAACTGAATCAATGATGAAAATCATTAAAAAAAATCTGGGCTGACTGACTTCATGCAAAAAACTCGGTACTATTTTACAGACGAGATTAACTGAGTACTCCGATTCGTTAAGACAGTACTCACCACTCCACCATATGTTCCTCCTTTTCATAATCCGACGAAGTCTCTAATATCAAGCGCCTCGTCAGATGAGCTTTGTGAAATCGCATGAACACATCACGGTTTTCCACATATTTCAATATCACAAGCTTAAAAAACACACATGATTGCTTAGAACTTCGATAGAATATAAAATGTAGGCACTCACGACATCACGAAGACGAGATTCAACTTCATCCGCGGACAATTTCTTCGATAGAGGAGTTTTCCGAAGAAGCATATCACAGTAATTGGCTAATAATTCGGGACATTTGCTTTCTGGCACACCCTTGCCACCTTGTGATTTCTGGAAATCAACAAGATTACCGATGCATGAAAATTGGCGCCGTCCTGACACGCGACCACCCCATATCATGCGGTTCGAAACACTTAAAATAACGCTGAGGAACTCATGGTGCGCGGTTTACCTCGTGAAAAAAGGAACGTTAAAAACTTTCACGTGAATGAAGCTCATTTCTTGAACAAGGAATTCCTAATCAACGTACTGAGTTTTGATTCACAGAGCGTACACCAGTATTTCCAACTTCGAATTACTTCCTGTACATGTGAATTGATAAATGTATGCCTTGAATTGATGTGAATAACTTCAGTTCTGTTGAAAGCGTATGCGAGAAAAAATTATTCAATTCAAGTCAATTTCTGTAATTTTCTTTGCAGATCCAGATTTTATCTTCCTCTGGGTGTAGAAAATTACACAAGCGTCACGTGGCATTACGGTCACAACTGCGCCTCAAGTTTGATTTTGAGTAGCACAAAATGCTGTCCCTTACTTTTTGAGTGAGTGAGGGACAGAGAACCACGGAACTATATTGAAATCATAAATCGCTTACTACAACGATCTCGCTAGGATAGATCATAGTTTTTAGGCGGATAGCTTAAAGGAAGAGAGAATTTAAATTTTCAAAAATAAAGATCAACTCACAGGCTTAGTGGGCACATCAAGGGAGAACACACGAGTGCTGTTCACGACTATCTTGAAAGCTTTGTCTCTCGCCGTCAAGAACCGCGGGTCATCAGAAAACGCAGTCTTGACAAGGTCCGTAAAAGTCCAATACTCATTGAGTAATGCCTCCACATACTTCTCACAATCGTGGGCAATAGTGGCTGCCGATGCCGCCATTTCGGCCAAGCCTCGCATCACTATATGGCCCTCCAAATACTGCAGCATTGGCTCCACGTTGTCCGGTATCCGATCCAGCAACCGGAACATCACACCCAGTTCTGAACGGATAAATAATTTCGATGAAAAATCAGAAATTTGGACAACACAATTCTGTTTGCAAACTATCAAGCACAAGCAATTTTCACAAAAAATCCATCATATGCGGGGTCAGCCCGCCTTCATCCTTTAGTTGCAAAACTTAATAACAGCTCGGATTAATTTTTTTGACAAATGGGAAGTGAATTCAATTTTAACAGAATGTATTGTGCTTCACAAGAGACATGACCTGTAACGGTTATGTGCAGAATTTCCGCCTTTCCAGAGTTAAATTTACGAGAAACTGCAAGAGGTATTTACATTTTGAAACTTCACACTAACTGCATTTGATAAGAACCCAGTCACATTCCTGATTTTCGTCCAGCTTGAATCAGCCTACAGTACTGTAAACATTTTTCAATCAGGATAGCTTACAGATTTTGGAGCAAAAAACCTTCGGTACTTCAGGATTTTAAAGGTTGAATGTAAGTTGAGCAAAATACCACGTACTGTACTGTAATTGTAAGTTAGGTGTTTAGAAAGGTTAATCTAAGCAAGCAGGTAGGTTATACTCATAAAGGTGTTGGCTTACGTTAATTCGAGCTAGTTCTTGGGTTAGGTTGAAGCTGGAAGTTTACAAATATAAACGCATTAATATGACTACAGTATGTTAGCTTCGGATTAACGAGTTTTTCGGGCTTGGTTTAATTGGTCTAGTTGATGCTAAAATTTGAACTACCAGAATTATAGCAGTGCCATCCATCATGTTCCCATCAGAGGGACATTTAAGTTTGTTTTTTAGCTCCGTACTTCACTTCCCTCTTCGTTCATTTCTTTAAATAGAGGAAAAATAAAACAGTCTACTCACTTTCTGTTTCGTTGGCACGTATCATCCTCGGACATTCAGCGAGAATCACGTCACGGAAAGCAGTCACCAACACGTCAACGCAACATTTCATCAACTGATGAGCACAAATGTTATTGTAGGAACGGCATAGCAGTAAAAAAAATATTGTTCTCACCGATTCCATGGATTGCTGATTATCCTGTAAATACTTTCTACCCCTAGCTTCCTCCTCCCGAAGCTTCTGCTCCGCATACTTCATATAATTTTCAACCCCGTTGGCTTGAAGATATTCCTGAGCTTTTTGTTTGTAGAAGGTTTCCGTGGCTTCCAAATAAGCTCGTTCGAAATTTTCGCGATAAATTTGAAGCTTATCTTCCGTGTTTGAACACAAATTGACTATAAAAAATTGAGCATGAGCGTTTCGCACCAGAATGAGTAAAATGTCTACTCTCACCATAACTTTCCCTAACTCCTATCACAAGCAATGAATCAAAGGCTTCCCCATTCCGTTCTGCTTGAACTAGCTTCATGGAGGCGTCTTGAAGTCTATTCTTTATCGTGGAAAATATACTAGTGTTCCACGTATCAAGCATAAGCTATAAGAAAAATAAACATAAATTTCAAACACTTCCGAGTAATTTTTTAGCACTATACCTTTCGGACAACCCCGTCGTCATTATTGTTCCGCTTGCTTCCAACAGTTGAACTAGCTTTACCTCCGGTAGAAGTATTCGACGGCACTTCTAACGAGTTGAAAGGCATTGGAAGGTATGTACACTGCTCAAAGAATTTCCTCCAATCCGCGATATACGCTTTAAGCAGCGCTTGGTCATCTTGCAATGTCAAAACTCGCTGAAAAATAAACGAATTCGATGAATTGAAAAGTTTGAACTTATTATAACAAAGGAAAGTATCTGATCAATTCGTGACAAAAATCTTTTCAGTATCCCAACTTTTTTCTGAGTAAATTCTTCACCCCTTTCTACAAGACTCGACTATCCTTCTACGAGTACTTTTCTTCGGAATAAAATTGAGTAGAGCCAGTTACGTTCTTTCCAGTGTTTGAAGACACAGCATTTTTCCATGAAAATTGCGACATTATGAACAAGAATGTAAAATGGCTGTTGAGTAGAATTGCGAGGCTTCAGTTTCGCAGTTACATTTACTCTCCGTTCTAGGAACTGAAATATCGAGGTGGACTCGGACTTCACGATTTCTCACGCTCTAGCAAATGAAATACTGCACAGTACTACATTGACATGGGATTCAAAAATGTTTCATTCAGTTCAAACTTTAAAGGTTGGTTCTTATCCATGATTGCCAAGTTGGTGAAAATTGAACGGGAAGTAGTCTAGATCAAGAAAAAATGACACACCTGATTGGCTTGTTTGATGAACTGCAAAATATCCTCAGTAAGCGCCTGGTACACTTTCGGAGGTCCTTTATCATCCCAGGTACAGACTGAATGCACAGTATAGAACAAATCATGCCATTCGGGCTTCGTCACAGGGTCTTGCCTCAGAAGTTTCAATATAGTTGGCCTCATCTTGGGCCATTCTTCTTCAAATACAACTGGGCGATCCTGTCAAAAGAAGTTGAGGAAAATCGCGTATTACTCGCTGAAAAAAAAAAAAAAACAATCTTTGAATATAATTTTACCTTCAACAAAGCCATTGCCAAAAACGCACGCAACAGCCCGAAAACTTGACAAAAAATCAATTCAGCACGAAGTTCAACATGTTCGCGCAAAAACAGCCATTAACTGGCGATCACCCGACCTGAAAAAAAATGAAAACCTTCAGCTCACGTACTTCGGTAGAGATATCTCACGACGTGCGATTCAAACGACAGGCCTTTTGATGCAACAATACATTCGGTGATAACGAGATCATTCGTGCGCACATAAAGCTTCAGAGTTTCACTGACTTAGAAGGAATCAACACGTTGTTTCGCCGGTCTTCCGGGTTTCAGCGGAAATATTCAGAGACCGCTGCAGGGCACGTAACCGCAGCACTTGCTTTCTCGCGATACGTTTGATGGAGAAGTAGCCAAAAAATAATTCCAGGGAAACAAACACCATCAGAATCGCATTCAGCGTCACTTCTACGCTCCGATGTTTCAGCCCGGTAGCGAACAAGGAAAAGGTCACCAGTGGAAATTGCACAAGAAGAGTCAGAAGCCAAAAGCCAACTAATTCTGGTATCTAAAAAAAGTAAAAATTAAATAAATTGACACTCTCAGGATGCTATTTCCAAGTGAAGCTCACTTTTTCCAAAATATTCCCAGAATAGCCGAGGTACACACGGATCATCTCGACCACAGTAGCGGCCACGAGTACTGTCACAGCCAGAGGTTGGAAAAGTTCGCTTAAGGCTTCCAGCTAAATTAATCACAGGAAAGAACAACTGATTCGTTGAAATGATACTTCGAATCAATATTCGCAAAAATACCTTCAATGAGAGAACATAAACACTGCAACCGAACCACACCGGGAAGAACCATGCGTTGAAATACAGACAGGTCTGCAGAGGGAGACTTGAGGATACTTCGTAAGCTTCTACAAAAGGAAAATTAGAAAAACTGGAGCATTACCGGCAAATAACCTCGATTCTGAGAATATACTTACTGATAGTATCTTTAAATTCTTCCCAGGAATCTCTCCCAGCCATGGAGGCAGCTGAACGGAAATCAACGCCGGGAAACAGCGGGGCAGATATCGTATGCAACAGATCATTCATTTCAAATTGACCTACAGCAACGAACTTTCAGCCGAGATCACAAACCCACGAAAATGCGCACTTCACATAACCTCACGAGCGATGCACCCTTAGATTACCGGCAGGCAGTCCGGACAAGCGTCTCTGTCGAAATACCCAGAGAAACAAAATGAAAAAAGATTCAGGGAAAAAAATCAGAAAATAATTACACGATCAGCATACTCAAAATCCGTGGCTCCATTTCTAAACGAATCGAAGGTTTGAGCTGAAGCCGTTCAGTTTTTTCTTCTTCTTTCAGTCTGAATACAATTTCACTCTTATGCTACATCCGTTATCATCGCAGGGCCGAAGAGTTTTGCACCGGCGAGAAAGGGGTCCACCCGCACAGATAAGAATCTCGGAGAAATCACACAACCAAAATAAAATTAAATCCGCAAAGCTTTCAGGAAAACATTCATTTTACTCGGCAATAATGATTTACTCCCGGCGTCGCAAGAATTTTCTGACAAGTGCGCCACCATACTGAGAAGTGTAGAATGAAACCTTCTTTGAACAAGAAATCACAGAGCAAAAAGCATTTCAGTACGTTTCTGTGTTTGCTGGAAGCAATCGCAGTACTGTGTACTCTACATTAATCCGCACAGGATGATTAGTCATCGTAATTCCCGATTAACCAGGATTGTACTCAACTGTAATATACAGTAGTTGAAATGATCACAAGGCAAAACCACAAATTTCTCCATGTCCGTCATCCGACTCAACAAATCGTCGAAGACGCTCGAATCAGACATCCAAGATCCACAATCTTTCCTAACCGAGGCATTGGGAGACCTGCTGTAATCTTTCATAAACCTTTTCTTTGCTTTGAAATAGCGCATTAAACACCGGCGGCATTTTTTCCCACAACGAGAACAAGTAAGTTTGCTTCCATCAACAATGAGTTCCTCGATGGTTCCGAGTTCTTCCGTGCAATCGGGGCACTTGATCGTTTCGTTAATCTCGGGCACATCGCTCCAATCCACCGGAGTGCATGCCTCACACTGACACGATACGACGTCAGAAAATCTCATCTGCAGTGCAGGACCTCTTCCTCCAGCATCGCAAGCAAAATACGGAAGACTGAAGGAAATTTGTATCGCATCGCCAGCTTTCAGTGTCCTGCGTCAAAAATATTATTGAAAATTAAAGTTTATACACCGTAAGCATGTTCATCTCAGAACTCGAGAGATTTCCGTTCGAATGACCTCACTTACCTTTAAAATTTTGAATAAACCACCTAGGAAAATCATTAGTGTACTCAATTTCCGGTGGAAACATTAAGGAATGCGTCAACATCAGTGGGATTATGAGCAGCAGAAGTGTGATTGGCAGTTAATTGTGAAAGCTATTGATATACTGTACTGTAATAAGGTTAGTTTAAGCACCAGTTTTTGGGTTTATACATTATTTCGTAAGCTGGAAATGACTCAGGGAGTGCATGCAATTATAAGACCATTTCAACATACTGTATATCAAAGCAGAAAATTACCGAGAAATTGCTGCAGCGCTTCAATAATGCAGTAGCAAGTTTTCTGGGCCCCGCGAACGCATATTCACGAATTCTGCCCTTTTTTCGAATAAATAAATATAAACAATGCTCCATATCCACCGACAATGCCAAGAATTGCGTTTGATACACGAATTTCAGCCAAACGTACATATAGTAGTGGTCCAAAAAATTATGGGCGAATTTCAAGAGTATACTGAGGAAAATAGAATATATATAGAGGTTTCATCCATCATCATCACAAATACTGTACAAAAGTGACCACATTGTAAATTTCACGTAAATAAAATTTTTTTGGGGGAACATTCTTCATATTGAAGCCTATTATATATACATGTTCGTGCAAAATACAATAAGGGAATTCAAATTGAAATTCTCAATTCGTCAATTTTGTAAGCATGGATGTCTCATTTATATGGAAGACATTCAAAATGATGAAGTGTAATTTCGAAAACTTGCACAGTTCAATTGAACAGGCACTTAATTTACGGAAAACCCGATTATATAAAATTAAACGCGAGGGGCCGTATGTCTCTCTGTATTGTACTGTATTCAGATTTTATCTCTTTATCCCTGTACCGTTAAAAATCATTTCAGAATTTTTGAATTATTTTCTGCCGATTTCCCACAATTTTTTTCATCACATTTTTGAACATTTCATCAACCGTGATGTTTGATTTATCCAGTAATTTTTTTTTTATCAAGAAATCGCCATATAAGATGCCCCTATTTGAATTAACTTTAAGCAAACATTTACGTGAAATCAAAAATCTTCTCTGTTTTTCGGCAACTGTAATGATTTTTGGTGGGGATAAATATCAATTTCAGGAAATAAGGTCTTTTATAATGTCATCCATATTTCTCTTCAGCAATAAGTTTTTCTTGTTACGTACAACGTATCCATGAAAACCCTCAAGCGCGGCGAGTTTTAGAAGCGTAATGTCATCTGCCGTTTGAATGTACTGTACTGATGAGTGGACATTTTTCTGAGCAACCAATTATAGAACCATAATCAAAAAAATACATAAACCGACCTGATAGCCAGAAGTGTTGCCTTCCTCCCGTCGAACTGAACGATGGCATTGGGGTTACAACTATGCTTCAAGCGTGAGAGCATAACAAAGAAGCCAGATCCGATCACGGCTTCTCGC